TCTCTCTAGAGAGGCCCAATTCCAGAGAAAGAGGCAGTCTGGCGGTCTGTGTTTGTTCTTTTTCACATCTTGTTCTATGCGCTGCAGGTTTTTGTGATCATCTCTGCACCGCGACCTCTTGTTCACATAATACCATATTTAGGAAGGGAATCGTCTTAAGAAATATTCTCGCAAGCTCCCAGGGGCCTCTGCGAGTCTCCATGCCAGCTGTAAAAGTTGGATGCTTAGAAGCGACAGACACACAAAGAAAGGGGGAAAAGCTGGGGTGGGAGGGGGGCAAAATAAATATCCATGTGTTGATATTAAAGGTGGGCTGAGTATTTACCCCTCCAGACAAAGGACCATTTGCCCAGTGCTATTCTTCTAGGAAGGGACGCGGGTGGCGCTGTGGGTTAAACCACAGAGCCTAGGACTTGCCGATCAGAAGGTCAGCGGTTTGAATCCCCGTGACGGGGTGAGCTCCCGTTGCTCGGTCCCTGCTCCTGCCAACCTAGCAGTTCGAAAGCATGTCAAAGTGCAAGTAGATAAATAGGTACCACTCCAGCGGGAAGGTAAACGGCGTTTCCGTGCGCTGCTCTGGTTCGCCAGAAGCGGCTTTGTCATGCTGGCCACATGACCCGGAAGCTGTACGCCGGCTCCCTCGGCCAATAAAGCGAGATGAGCGCTGCAAGCCCAGAGTCGGACACGACTGGACCTAATGGTCAGGGGTCCCTTTACCTTTACTCTTCTAGGAAAACAGGTGCCAAAACTCACCACGAACACCTCCCTCGTTTTCTTTTAATGGCAATGGCACCCACCTGAGAGGTGCTGAAACTGAGTTCCGGTGAATTCCGGCTGAAAAAAATGCCCTGCATTTACCCCTGTTGAAAGGTGGGGGTATTTGGTGGCTTTTAGAGGCCGGCGAATTTCATAATTTTCAGGAGGGCTACTGTTATGTACTGAAGTTCTCACCCTGGGCCAGCAGGGGGATCCTGATTGAAAACTATCTACAGTATTCCCCTGCTGGCCCAGGGTGAGAACTTCAGTACAGAACGGGGACATTCCTGGATCAAGTCAGAAGCCAGGATGGCCTTCATAATTCCGGTACTGTCCTTGGAAAATTGGGACACTTGGAGGATATGGCTGTGGCTGACCCACAGCTCTGAACTGCAGATCCCCACTCCTAAGAGGCTCAGGAACAGGTTTCTAAGTTGCAAGTAACACTGGCGGTAAATGAGAATGTGGTCATTGACAGCAGATAGCAGTATATACAGTACAAAACCATTAAAGCCCTGAATTGCTTTGAGCCAAATTTTGGCTGCTCTGCAGTTAATGGAAATTTTAGTATCGACTTCTGTTTGGATTAATCTTCACTCTGTTTGGCAGGCCGCGTCTTAATTTTTGTTTACCGTTACGATAAAAATAGCCAGGACACCATATCGTCCTTCCCTCCCTCTCTCGGCGATGGCTCAATCTTAATAGAATTGACAATCCTGCATCTCAGAGAAAAGCTAAAAAAGAGAATCGATGTGTACACAATTTCAGCATTATCTTAGATCTGAGTTTCTGCCTGATTCATTTAGGCACTCTAATGCATCCTAAGTCCAGGAAAGGCAGGGTTCCAACAGAGATGCTTCCTCGGGGAGAAGGAATTGATACCAACTAAGGTTCTCATGACCTTTCTGAAACTGAGTTACGCTCTTCAACCAAGTTCTTAAAATATCGCAGACTGAGGAAACGTTTTGGCAGGCGCATTGCTTTCCCCTTAAAAGTTTAAACAGAGCAGCAATTTAACTACCTTTTTAAAAAATGTGTCATAATAATGCTATGCTTTATCACGTCATTGACAGTCTTCTTACACTGCCTTGACTCCACTGTGACTCAGAGCATCATTTTCATCCGGATCTACACTTGCAGAAGAGCTTCTTCGTTCCTATTCGTGGGTGGCTCCACCTCCATTTTCCAGTGGCCCAAATTGTTTCCGGGCCTAATTTCAGGTGCTCATGCAGATGTTTGAGGCCACAGATGCATACCTGCCAAGTACCTTGGGAAAAAATGGGACATCCCATATTTTTCATGTGAGATCATGGCGACCATTTGGGGTGCTGTGCTCTCTGTCCCCAAAAAGCTCTTTTAGGGGGCAAGAGTGAAGCATGGGTGACATGATTTGCCCAGGAATGCATCCCAGAAGACCCTGGACCATGCATTATGTTCCTTGCTGTGATAAGTCAGATCTGCCAGTTGAAACATCCAGGCGCATTTTTACCATGTGCTCAAAGACATGGCTCCTAGACATATGCTGTGGTGCTTACCGATAAGGTAAAGGTAAAGGGACCCCTGACCATTAGGTCCAGTCGTGGCCGACTCTGGGGTTGTGGCGCTCATCTCGCTTTATTAGCCGAGGGAGCCGGCGTACAGCTTCCGGGTCATGTGGCTAGCATGACTAAGCCACTTCTGGCGAACCAGAGCAGCGCACGGAAACGCCGTTTACCTTCCCGCTGGAGCAGTACCTATTTATCTACTTGCACTTTGACGTGCTTTCGAACTGCTAGGTTGGCAGGAGCAGGGACCGAGCAACAGGAGTTCACCCCGTCGCGGGGATTCGAACCACCGACCTTCTGATCGGCAAGTTCTAGGCTCTGTGGTTTAACCCACAGCGCCACCCGCGTCCCTTCCTGCCAATAAGGTACATGGTAGATAAATGGGAACTTTTCGTTCTGTGAATGAAATGGCCCAAACTCTGCCTTCGACTGAATCAGTCCTAACAAGGAGTAGCGTGTTTTCTGCGGGTTTCCAGAAAATGTGAATATTTCCCCGTGTTACTGGATGGCAAGCGCTCCAAATTATCTCTCAGCAGACAACTCAAGGTGCTTCTGAACCTCTTAATTGAGCTTTTCTCCCAATTGGTTTGCACAGATAGTAGAGTGCATTTCCTCATCCTTTTCCTGATTGCAAAACGTCAGATCTCGCGGTGGATTGGGGGTATATTTTTTGAGGAGCAAGAATGATCAGCTTTATCATTTCTGGGAAATGATATATAATGAATTGAAAAGGATGTTTAAAATAATCTTTGTAAGAAAAAAGCCCAGAAGCTTATTTTTTGGGAATTATAGGGAGAGAACCACATAAATTGTATAGAAATTTATTTATGTATCCTACTTATGTATGCTACTACAGCAGCAAGAATGCTACACGTCCCAAAATGCAAATGTTTGGCACCATTTTTGACTGAATAGGATAACGTCAGATTTTTTGTGAAATTGTGACCGCAAAGATTAACGCATCGAGGAATGATGTTTTGCCCTATGATAAAAAGCCTTCTGTTTCCAAGGCCAAACCTTTCATGGGAGCGTTTGCAACCGTTTGGCACCATTTTTGAGTGTATTGGATAAGGTCAGATTTTTGCAGAAATTGTGACCCCGGGGCTTAGGGATTTTTTCAAAAAAATCTTTTTCCACAGGTTAAGTAGTCAAGGGCTGATTGCTTTTCCTATTATAAAAAGCCTTCTGTTTCCACCACCAAACCTTACAGGGGAGCGTTTGCAACCCTTTGGCACCTTTTTTGAGTGAATTGGATAACGTCAGATTTTTGCAGAAATTGTGACCCTGGGGCTTAGGGATTTTTTCAAAAAAATCTTTTTCCGCAGGTTAAGGTCTCAGGGGCTGATTTCTTTTCCTATGATAAAAAGCCTTCTGTTTCAACCGAAAAACCTTTCAGGGGAGCGTTTGCAACCGTTTGGCACCATTTTTGAGTGAACTGGATAACGTCCGATTTTTGCAGAAATTGTGACCCCGGGGCTTAGGGATTTTTTCAAAAGTCTTTTTCCACAGCTTAAGGCGTCGAGGGCTGATTTCTTTTCCTATTATAAAAAGCCTTCTGTTTCGACCGCCAAACCTTTCAGGGGAGCGTTTGCAACCGTTTGGCACCATTTTTGAGTGAATTGGATAACGTCCGATTTTTGCAGAAATTGTGACCCCGGGGCTTAGGGATTTTTTCAAAAGTCTTTTTCTACAGCTTAAGGCGTCGAGGGCTGATTTCTTTTCCTATGACAAAAAGCCTTCTGTTTCCACCGACAAACCTTTCAGGGGAGCGTTTGCAACCGTTTGGCACCATTGTTGAGTGAATTGGATAACGTCAGATTTTTGCAGAAATTGTGACCCTCAGGTTAGGGATTTTTTTGAAAAAAAATGTTTTTCTGCGTTTTAAGGCACTGAGGGCTGCTTTTTTTGGAGTATGATAAAACATAGTTTTTGCATTTTTATGCTGTCAACCGCCCTGAGATCTTTGGGTGAAGGGCGGTATTCAAATCTAATCTAATCTAATAAAATAGTAAAGTAAAATTAAATGAAATATGAGTAGAATACAGTGGTACCTCAGGTTAAGTACTTAATTCGTTCTTGAGGTCCGTTGTTAACCTGAAACTGTTCTTAACCTGAAGCACCACTTTAGCTAATGGGGCCTTGCGCTGCTGCCGTGCCGCCGGAGCCCGATTTCTGTTCTCATCCTGAAGCAAAGTTCTTAACCTGAAGCACTATTTATGGGTTAGCGGAGTCTGTAACCTGAAGCGTATGTAACCTGAAGCATATATAACCCGAGGTACCACTGTAGAACAAAGTAGAACAATATAAACGAGAATAAAATAAAATAAATAAAATGAAATACTAAAGTAAAATGAAATAAACTAGAATAGAACAGAATAAACTAGAATACAACAGAATAAACTAGAATAAATAAGAGAACTAGAACAGAATAAACTAGAATAGAAAAGAATAAACTAGAACACAATAAACTAGTATACAATAAACTAGAATTGATTAGAATAAAATAAGAGAACTAGAACAGAATAACCTAGAATTGATTAGAATAAAATAAGAGAACTAGAACAGAATAGAATAAACTAGAATTGAATAAACTAGAATAGAATAAAACAGAATAAAAAAACTAGAATAGAATAGGCAGCAGAAATACTCCAGTTAGCTGAGGCGCGCCTGCGCAGTCAGAAACTCCATTTCCCGCCTCCGCCTCCCTATCCCGCGAGCTGCCGGCGCGGGAGAAGAGCGTCAACCCGCATCCACGCGCTTCCACCTGGGCATCCGGGAAGGCGACGGAGGCCGGCTCGGCAGCCAATGGGAAGGGCCGGTGGCGGCTCAGCCAATGGCGGCGTCGCGCGGCCCGTCTCGGCCGCCGGGTTTCCTGCCGGGATTCTGCTGCTGCTGCTGCTGAGGCGAGGAAGGCGAGACGGGGGGGGGGGGGCGGGCGGGCAGCCGGGCCCGGGGGAGAAGGGGAGCCCCCCGGGGAAAGGGCGCGGGTCCCGGGGCCCCCGAAAGGCGGGACGAATTCGCCCCTCCGCGCCCCAGTCGGCCTTCCGTGGAACTGCAGAGCTGGGAAAGGGACCCCCGGGGGTCATCTAGACCGACCCCCTGAGACGCAGGAAGCTGAGCGAAGCATACACGGCAGGCAGCCTCTGGGACAGCTCAGTCTGTGGAGCCTGAAGCCCTCGGGGTGGCGGGTTCGAGCCCCACGTCGCGCATTGCCAGGCCTGATGGACATCCTATATACCCTTTTAAAATGTGGCTCTTCTTTGGGGGGCGGGGGTGTTATTGAGTTATTGTTCTTATTTTGATTTTATATATCGTGATCTTTTCTGCAAAGCGCCCTGAGACCTCTGGGTATAGGGCTGTATATAAATTCAATGAATAAATAAATTTCAGGGGGTTGGACCAGATGGGTCTGGGGGGTCCCTTCCATCTCCACGATTCTTTAGAACAGTGTAAATAGCTAAATTGTAAAGAGAGAAAGAACATTGCACAGGAGAGCAGCTAAGGGGAAGTTGATTGGGAAACCCAGCCAGATGGGCGGGGTATAAATAATAAAATTATTGTTGTTGTTGTTATTGTTATTAAAATAGGGATGGAGTCAAGTGTGTACATACACACAAGCACCATCCTCAATGTCTCTCTAGACCAGTGGTTCCCAACCTCTTTTTGGCCATTCCCCACCTAAGCATCTCTAAAATCCTGATTCCCTCCCCCCCATTGACATATAATTCTTATTATTTAAAAAGTGAACTGTTCACGTGGAGGAAGCCTAAAAGGCCATTCACTGTTAATAACTCATTCTCAAATTGCCCCCCTTATAATCAAATTGCCCCCTTGTGGGGGGGGGTGTACCATGTTGGGAACCACAGCTCTTAACACCCGCTGCTCTTCAGGATTTTCCCATGACTGGGAGGTTTCGCAGCACACTCAACTTGAAAAACTCGCTATGCTACACTGCATTTGTTCATTCATTTAGAAATCAAGTAGCTTTTATTATTAAAAGTACATTATAGCTTCTTTTTTATATATAATTTTTTTTATTTGGTGTTTCAGATTAAAATTTTACAGTCACATATCGAACGTACACATATAAACAAGATTCCAAAGAATCTCGTGGATTTCCCTCCTCCCCTTTGCGGATCCTATTGTTAATTATTTCCTCCTGCATCTTTTATGATAATCCAGATCTTTTACATCTCCATTGTACGCGGCACTGCATTTAAGCAATTTTGCGTCCTCTCATTTTTCAAGCTTTTCCTCTTCCTGGGTGCACGTTATTTCGAACCCAACACCCACCCTCTTTGCCAATCAGGAGGGCAGTAGAGTCGTGCTTAAAGGTTTCTGCTTCTCATAATTCCTCTCTTTCTTAAGTCTTTTGGTTCCATTTCCCTCTTTAAAGTTCAGTTTTCTTAGAACTTAGAAAGGATTTGGCCCCCTGATCTAAACCGAAAAGCAGCCATTTTGCAATAGCTGCTACATCATCTGTTTGCTGCTTACAAAGGTGTCAAGTGTTAAAAAGTCTTGGATGCTTTATGCATGATGCACACACTCTTGCAAACTCCCTTTCTCCGTGACTGCAATGCTGTGCACGCTTCCCTTGGAAAAACCTTTATTTGAACACAGTGGGATATACTTCCGATAAATATGCTTTGGTGTCTGCCAGGTTCCCTAGGAGGTTTTACTCTGAAGCCTCAGAACATCCACATCATACATTCGGAGCACAACTAAGGCATTTTTAAAGTGCATGACATTCTCCAAAGAGTCCTGGGTGCTACAAATTGCAGCTCTAGGAGAGGAAACAACAGTTCCCTTGATTCTTTGAGGAAACCATGTACTTTTACTGTATGGTGTGAATCTGATTTTTTGATTTAATAAGCTGTAAACCGCTTTGAGATGTTTTATTAAAAATATAAAGCAGTATGGAAATTAAAGAATTAAAAATAAAAATCTGCAACCTGTCCTTTCATGCTCCCATCTCTCTCTCTCTGTGTATATATATATATAATGAGATAAAAGTTCAGAGATTGAAGAACTTCCAGTTCTTCATCTGTCCGCTATATACATATAAACAATAATCACTTCATCCACTCCGATATAACTCCTAAGAGAACACCACTTTCTATAAACAAATTATCTTCAGTCCTCGAACCCAAATGTCATGATTTCATTTTCTTTCTCACACAAAAAGTCTTTGAGTGGTTTCCAGTCTTTAGTAAATGTTAACAATGACTTTATTTCATATTAAACATGTTGATTTTGTCATCTCAGCTAAGTCCATTAATTGTAAAAACCCTTCCATTGTCGGTAATGATGTCCCTTTCCATTTTTGCCATCCACTCCAGTCCTGACAGCAACGTGACGTTACTAGGCAAAACAAAGGAAAAGCAGAGCAATAAGGAAGGGAACATTTCTGTCGTTTTATATTCAGGGTCTGGGCACGGGTAAATTTTGTGGTACTTGGGAACTACTGCACCATGCTGTTTTTACTGCCTGCACACCTTACGAACAAATATCTCACCTCCATTTTCTTTTAACAGGGCTCCTTTCTAGCAGATGGAAACCTTTAAGCACTGTACACCGACCGGATTGGGTGAAGGGCTGAATGTCCAAAGCTTCGGGAATGAAAGCTTATCGTATTTTGCCTACGGTAGTAACTTGCTGCGGGAGAGGATAATGTTAAGAAACCCATCTGCAGTTTTTCTCACCCTGGCACAGCTACTGGTTGGTGCTGTCTGTCTGTCTCTTTATGTTGTTAAGCATATGCCAAAAATACCTTTGTCTGCCATTGCTGTGACTAGGACATGCAGCAGATATTGCTGTGCAATCATCATTTCCTTCTGTCGAGTTGTGATCCTTTTTCCAGGGAAAGTAGTTAGCCTACGAGGCTTCCAGTTTGGTGCAGAATCCGTCCTGCTGATACCCATGTGGTTGGTGGTGGTGTTTTTTGCAGCAACTGCGTGATGTCATTGTCATAATGCCAAGCCATACTTTTTTATACATTCAATCTGGATTTCCACTTATTGTGGAAAATTTGCCAAACAGCCCGTTATCCAGCTGCAGTCACTCCTGGTGTGGAAGCTTATTAGTCCATTAAAAAAATTAAAATGTTGGGCATGTCGTCATGAGTGTGGCACTGTTTTTGTGGGTGGTCTTTGTCACCACACCTCTGCTTCTGTTGCATCTGTGGAATGCTCTCTACATGGAAGTTCACCTGGTACCTTCATTATACACCTTTAGGCACCAGGCAAAAACTTTCCTTTTTAACCAGGCCTTTGGTTGATCTGATTTACAGTGATACCTCTAGTTACGAGCTTAATTCGTTCCGGAGGTCCGTTCTTAACCTGAAACTGTTCTTAACTAGAGGCGTGCTTTCGCTAATGGGGCCTCTTGCCGCTGCTGTGCTGCCGGCACACAATTTCCGTTCTCATCCTAGGGCAAAGTTCTCAACTCAAGGTAACTCTTCCAGGTTAGCGGAGTTTGTAACCTGAAGTGTTTGTAACCTGAGGCGTTTGTAACTCGAGGTACCACTGTACATCCTATACCCTTTTAAAATGTTTTTTTGGGGGGGGGTTATTGGGTTGTTGCTTTTATTTTTATTCGGTATTTTGTGGTTTTATATCTTAATTTTATTCTGTGAACTGCCCTTAGACGCCCGGGTAAAGGGTGGTATATAAATTCAATAAATCATCATCATCAACATCAACATCATTATTAATGAATGGGATTTTACATTCACTTTTCTTTCTCCTGTCTTACCGATCTACTCCACAGCTTTGTTTGAATTAATCGCATGTCTTTTAAACCTATAGATACCGTATTTTTCGCTCTATAAAATGCACTAGACCACAAGACGCACCTAGTTTTTGGAGGAGGAAAACAAGAAAAAAAAATATTCTGAATCTCAGAAGCCAGAACAGCAAGAGGGATCGCTGCACAGTGAAAGCAGCAATCCCTCTTGCTGTTCTGGCTTCTGGGATAGCTGTGCAGCCTGCATTCGCTCCATAAGACGCACACACATTTCCCCTTACTTTTTAGGAGGGAAAAAGTGAGTCTTATAGAGCAAAAAATATGGTATATAAATGGAGGTTAATTGTTCTCCTTTTAACCTGCAGGATTACAAACTTGCTTTTGGCTCTCATCATGGCAAGCCCAGTTCTAACTGGCATGGAAGTACAGCAACTATAATCCATAGTCCTGGCGATGAAGTGTGGGGAGTCGTATGGAGAATGAGTACTACAGATTTACCTTCTCTGGATAGGTGGGTGTCTTCAAGTTCTGCCATCTTCTCTCAATTTAGTAACTTAATGAGCCACACACTTGCTTAAATGTTCTGGGTGTTTTGTTGTATGTATGGCATCAATTCTTTGCCAAAGCAATTGCCGGACTCCAAGAGAACAGTTTCAGTGCAAAGGGAAATATGGCTCGAGGATGAACTGCTCACTTGTAACATTTACAGAATAGAAACTAAGCAAGATATTTTTTTAAAATAGTGATTTTCCGACATGTGCTAATTACCAAAGCCCATCAGTTCAATTTTCTTACTGAATTAACAGCTTTAATTGGGTATTTGGCGCCTGTCGCAGAAGCTGATTTAATCAGATGGGGTTTTTATCTTTGATAAAAACAGCAGGAAAAATATAAAGAACTACACTGTTGTAATAAGTATGCAATCCTGTGCATATTTATTCAGCGGTAAGACCTACTGTTTTCAGCAGGCTTTACTGCTAGGTAAGTGTGATGAGTATGAGTTACTCGTGCGTAAACTGGTGCCTCTCTAGGCTAATTTGCCTTGTTAAACCTTTCTGACTGCACAGCCCTTTCTAATCATGACTGCCTCAGTCACTGGCAGAATCCGTCAGTGGGCGTTTCTTGAATCTCTTCCAACATAAGAGTTGTTTGACACCCAGTCTCCTCCTCCTCTCACTGCGTGGGAGCCTTCTGCGCAGGGAGGGCGTGGGTAGCGGAGGACCTGTCCCCTCCTCACTGAGTTCCAGTGAAGAGTCCGGGAGCCCTCTCTCCGATTCCCCCATCTGCCCACCTTTATTCCTGGTGTTGCGCTTAAATGCTTCCCCCTCCACTGAGCTGCTTCCCCCCTGCTGCTGGGTCCTTCTCCAGCATCATCTAGGAGCCTCCCCTTCGCCTCCCGCTCCGATGTCAGTTCCCTGACATCCACCTCCCCCAGAATCCCTCCACCCCTGGACCGACCTGTGGGATCAACTCGTCCCCTTCGTCGGCCGACGAGGCGGGGAACCCCGGAAGGAACTGTCACCATCTTCTGTGGATTCGAAACCCGCTTCCCACCCGCTCTTCCACCTGCCAACGGGGTGGTCCTCCCAGTCTGATTCTTCTTCCTCCGAAACCTCTCCTCCCTCCTCCTCGGAGTCAGAAAATCCCTCAAAAACCTCTTCCTCATCTGTGGTTCCAAATTGCTCCTCCCAGAATCTCTCCAGGGGTTTGGGTTTGTCCGGGAACCGGCGGTGGAATACCTCCACCAGATACCTGTCCTCGAAGGCTTCCGTGGGGACCCACGTGTTTTCGGACCTGGGTTCCCCTTCCCACGCTACCAAATACTCCACCCGGCGCCCTTGCCACCTTGAGTCCAGTATTTCCGTGGCCCTGTGGTGGTGTTCCCTTTCTTCTACCTGCGGGTGTGTGGTGACTTAACACTCTTGCCCCTGGAATTCCCGCCCTTCCCTATGCGGTGAGAGCAGGGACCTGTGGAAAACCGGGTGTATTTTCATGCTATCAGGCAACTTGAGCTTAAATGCCACGGGATTAACTTGCTGTGTTACCTCAAAAGGTCCCAGCCGTCTGGGCTGCAACTTCTTGCACCCCCCTTTGAAAGGTAGCCCTTGGGTGGACAACCACACCCGGTCCCCCACCCGTATGGTCTCCCTTCCCTGCGGTGCTTGTCTGCCTGCCTCTTGTAAGTTTCCTTGGCCCGCTCCAAGTTCATCTTAAGTTGCTGGTGTAGGGCCTCCATTTCTTCCACAAACTGCTCTGCAGCGGGTACGCTCCAGCTTTCCTCCCCACTCCCGGGAAGGCCCTGGGATGACACCCATGGTTGGCCATGAATGGGCTCATTCCCGTGGACACGTGTTCCGCGTTGTTGTACGCGAATTCAGCCAGCGCTAGTTTTTCTACCCAATCGTTCTGCCTCTCGCTGACGTAGCAGCGTAGGTATTGCTGGAGTATACTGTTCGCTCTTTCTGCTTGCCCGTTGGTCTCTGGGTGTCTCGCCGTCGAGAAACCCACCTCCACCTGCAGCAAGCTCATGAGCTTCCTCCAGAACCGGGAAGTAAATTGTTTTCCGCGGTCGGAGATAACCCTCAAGGGGGCGCCATGCAGCCGGAATATGTGCTCCACAAACAACCGGGCTGTTTCCTCTGCCGTTACAGCATGTGAGCAAGCTATAAAATGGCACATTTTTGTCAGTAGGTCGACCACTACCATGACTGCTGTCTTTCCCCGGGACTTGGGCAAATCTGTCATAAAATCAATGGATACCACCTCCCAGGTTTTCCCGGCGTGGGTAAGTGTTCCAGTAATCCTGTGGGGCAGCCCGCTCCCCTTTGCCCTTTGGCAGCGGTCGCACCCCGTACATATTCCCGTACATCCTCCCTCACCCTGGGCCACCAGAACTGCCTGGTCACGAGCATCATGGTTTTGTGCTGTCCAAAGTGCCCTGCTGTGGGGTTGTCGTGGAGTTGTTTGAGTACCTTTCCCTCAGGGTCTCCCCCGGTACGTACAGCGCTCCCCTATAGTACAGTACCCCTTCCTTCTCCTCAAACCCTTCTTGGGTCCCTCTTCCGTCTCGTAGTTCCCGGATTTTAGTTTGCGCGAACACGTCGTTTCTGGTCAGCCCGGCTAGTTCTCGTTTCCCCACCAAAGTTCCCCCACACACCCATCGGTCCTCGCGTGTCGTTTCTCCGGCGGCCCCTCTCCTTCCAGGTACTCCGGTTTACGCGAGAGAGCGTCTGCTCTTACGTTTTCCTCTCCGGGCACGTATCGGATTTCAAAGAAAAACTTGGAGAACTCCTGTGCCCATCGAATCTGTCTCTGGTTGAGTACTCGTGCGGTTCTCCAGTACTCCAAGTTCTTGTGATCTGTGCAAACCTGGATCTGTTGTTGCGCCCCATCAGTAGATGACGCCAACGACGAAAGGCCGCGTAGATTGCCAGCAGTTCGCGGTCATACACTGTATAGTTTTGCTCCGACTTGCTCAGTTTTCTCGAGAAAAAGGCACACGGTTTCCATTCCTGCTTGCCCCTCCCTGGCTGCAAAGGACCGCCCCTACGGCTCTGTCGGACGCGTCGGTCTCTAGCCTCAGGGGTTTCTCCAGATCTACGTGCAGGAGTTGCTCTTCCGATGCGAACGCCTTCTTCAGTTTTTCGAAGGATTGCTGGGCCTCTTCTGTCCACACAAACTTCTTTTTGCTACTGAGACAATCCGTGATGGGCGCTGTCAAGTGGGCGAAGTTCTTGATGAACTTCCTGTAGAAGTTGCTGAACCCTAGGAACCTCTGTACGTCCTTCCGTGTTTTGGGAGCCTTCCACTCCAGCACTGCCTGCACCTTGCTTGGGTCCATCGCTAAGCCTTTGTCAGACAACTTGTACCCCAGAAACTCGACTTCTCTGGCGTGAAACTGACATTTTTCCAGCTTGACCCACAACTGGTGCTTCTGCAGTCATTGTAACACTTCCCTGACGTCTCTAACATGTTGCTCCTCATTGTCCGAATAAATTAAGACGTCGTCCAAGAAGGCTACGCAGTTCTTGTACAGCAGAGACCCCAACACGTGGTGCATGAAAGCTTGAAAACAGGCGGAGCCCGACTGTAATCCAAAAGGCATAACTAAGTACTCAAAGGCACCTAGGGGTGTGAACATTGTGGTCTTCCATTCGTCCCCCTCCCTCATCCTGATCAAATTGTATGCGCCCCGAGGTCCAGCTTGGTAAAAATTTTGCCTTTCCTCACTCGCGTTAAAATGTCGTCAATCCTGGGCATTGGGAAGGTCACGGGTTCTGACACCAAATTGACAGCCCTATAGTCCACAATGAGCCTGGGTTTATTTGTGTCCTTTTTGTCCACAAATAACACCGGACTGCCCCCACCGCCTTTGATTCTCTTATGAAGCCTCTTTTCAGGTTCTTGCCAATAAATTCCCGCAACTCCTTCATCTCCCTGTCTGACATGGCATACAGCTTACCCACCGGCAGCTGCGCCCCGGAAGCAAGTTGATCTGGCAGTCAAAGGGCCTATGGGGTGGCAGTCTATCTGCCTCCTTCTCGCTGAAGACCTCCCGCAGATCTGCGTATTGCGGCGGCACCTCCCTTTCCGCTCTACACCCATCCCAGCCACCCTGGCCACGGTCATTCTTGGGGCTCCCCCCCCTAGACAGTGTTCCAGGCAGTAAGCTGACCCAAAGGTGACTGTCCTCTGATGCCACGCCACCACTGGATCATGTTGTGCTAGCCAGCTCATCCCTAATATTATTGGGGGCCCTGCTAGTGAGGCGACGTGAAAGGCGATGGTCTCCGAGTGCCTGGACACCCTCATTCTCATTGGTGGGGTCTGGTGTGTCACTTCCTCCTAGAAGCTCCCTGCCATCAATGGTGGTCACTTGCAAGGGAAAATCCAAAGGCAGTAAGTGGAGCTGGTGCTCTAATGCAAAGTCTTTGCTGAAGAAATTACATGAGCTGCCTGAATCCAGCATCCCTTTCACCTTGACTGGGTGCCCGTTCGGGAGTTCTAGCACCACTTCGATGGCTATTGCCGCCTTGGGGGTCTGGTTGGGGCACTTTTACTGGTGGCTGGCCTGGCTGCTGTGCCCCTTGATTGGCAGCCAAGCGCTCCCGCTTCCCTGTTCCTGTTCCTTTACCACCTCCTCCTCAACCCCTGCGGCTCCCACCATTCCTTGCCAGGCCTTTCTTTGAGGGCAGGCTCTGGCAAATGTCCTGGCCGCTGGCAAAGGAAACACTTCTTGGAGGTTTTCCAATCCTTTCCCTCCTTTTGCGCCCTTCGCTGGTGCTTGAAACTTCCGCGCGCGTGCCCCATCTATTTCCATTGGCTCTGCTGGCGGGGAAGGCTGCCTTGGTATTTCAGGAATGCGGTAGTCATGGCAACGTTGCTCTCTCCCTTCCCGCCTCTCCTGGGCCCGCGCTTCCTGCCGCACGCCAACCGCAAGCACAGCCTTGGTCAGCTGATCCATCCCCTGTGGGCGGGGTGCGCGGGAAAGTTCATCCTTAACCGTTGGGGACAACCCTCCTCGAATAACATTTGTATGGGTTCGGAGTCCAGTTGCCACCCGAGGCGGTGAACTATCATGGCAAAGCGCGACCAGTAGTCCCTAACTGACTGGCTCCCTGTTTACAGTTCATCAGTTCCCGCTTTGTCACACTTTTTTGTACATCAGTGGAAAACATTGCGTCCATCGCTTGGAAGAATTTCCTCAGGTCCTGCATGGCGGCATTCTGCGTCGCCATAAGGGGCCTGACCCATTCCCTCGCCCCGTCCTGCAGGTGACCCACAATATATGCCACCCGCGCCGCGTCGTCTTCAAAATCGTCATGCTGCAATTCCAATGCGTACTCTATTTCCGTTCAAAACGCACTGTATTCTTGCGGCTTCCCCAAATTTGTGCACCAGTCCCGGTACCTTCCTTGCTATGGGGTGGGTCTGACCTGTGCATCTTGAGACCGCCTTTCGTCCAGCCGCGCCGTCAGAATGGCCACATGCTGCTCCAACTCTCGGTTCCTCTCCACCAGCGTTTGCCCTCCAGCTGCTCCCCTGGGTGCTGGCTTCTCCGGGCTTGCTCATGATGCTGCCTGCCTGCTGCTGCGCACGAGCAACTTTCAGGGACTGACGGATTGCTGTGATGAGTATGAGTTACTCGTGCGTAAACTGGTGCCTCTCTAGGCTAATTTGCCTTGTTAAACCTTTCTGACTGCACAGCCCTTTCTAATCATGACTGCCTCAGTCACTGGCAGAATCTGTCAGTGGGCGTTTCTTGAATCTCTTCCAACATAAGAGTTGTTTGACACCCAGTCTCCTCCTCCTCTCACTGCGCGGGAGCCTTCTGCGCAGGGAGGGCGTAGGTAGCGGAGGACCTGTCCCCTCCTCACTGAGTTCCAGTGAAGAGTCCTGGAGCCCTCTCTCCGATTCCCCCATCTGCCCACCTTTATTCCTGGTGTTGCACTTAAATGCTTCCCCCTCCACTGAGCTGCTTCTCCCCCTGCTGCTGGGTCCTTCTCCAGCATCATCTAGGAGCCTCCCCTTCGCCTCCCGCTCCGATGTCAGTTCCCTGACAGTAAGCGTGCATAGGATTGTGCTAGAAAGTTAAAAGTAAAGGGACCCCTGACCATTAGGTCCAGTTGTGACCGACTCTGGGGTTGCGGCGCTCATCTCGCTTTATTGGCCGAGGGAGCCGGCGTACAGCTTCCGGGTCATGTGGCCAGAATGACTAAGCCGCTTCTGGCGAACCAGAGCAGCACACGAAAGCGCCATTTACCTTCCCGCCGGAGCGGTACCTCTTTATCTACTTGCATTTTGACGTGCTTTCGAACTGCTAGGTTGGCAGGAGCTTGGACCGAGCAACGGGAGCTCACCCCGTCGCGGGGATTCGAACCACCGACCTTCTGATCGGCAAGTCCTAGCCTCTGTGGTTTAACCCACAGCGCCACCCGTGTCGCTACTTTACCACTATTGACAGCTGTAATGGTGAAACAGAAAGCAACAGGAGATCTTTTTTTAAAGAGGAACTACAGTGAAAACTCGGTTCTCAAACGTCTCCATTGAGAAACGTTTTGGAACCCGAATGCCCCAAACCCAGAAGTCAAATGCTTTCCGCTGCATGTTTTTCAGTTTTCTCAACTGAATTTGCCAACAGCCCTTTGAGCCCCGGTTTTCGAACGTTTCAGAAGTCGAACGGTCTTCTGGAACAGATTACGTTTGGAAACCGAGGTTCCCACTGTACCTGTTGCAGGAGTTTAGAGCTGTGCACGATGGCCTGTCCCCTGGGGCTTTTGCTTGAACACCAGTGCCTAACCTTGATGGTTTTATTACTGTATTGCCGTAATCCCTCTTATGACGTTCATTTGGACTTGCAGAGTTTCAACCATATGTGGGCTGCTTGAAATGGTGCAGGTCTAGGCCCAAGCAAAGCGAAGAGCTTGAAAGCTCTTTTCCTGCCTGGTCCACTTGGGGTTACACAGCGCAAAAAAGAGCTTTTAAGTTCTCTGCCTTGCTGCCGAGCTCTAGGAATGCTGGGGATACTCGCTCTTTCCTCCTTCACCCTTTAGCTAGAGGGCAGCTCCAAAGGTTTGGCTATACCTATATTTTATGCATATTCCCCCGGAACTGACCCCCCGCATAAGATTAGGTAAGTAAAGGTAAAGGGACCCCTGACCATTAGGTCCAGTCGTGACCGACTCTGGGGTTGTGGCGCTCATCTCGCTTTATTGGCCGAGGGAGCCAGCGTACAGCTTCCGGGTCATGTGGCCAGCATGACTAAGCCGCTTCTGGCGAACCAGAGCAGCGCACGGAAACGCCGTTTCCCTTCCCGCCGGAGCGGTACCTATTTATCTACTTGCACTTTGTGCTTTCGAACTGCTAGGCTGGCAGGAGCAGGGACCGAGCAACGGGAGCTCACCCCGTTGCGGGGATTTAAACCGCCAGCCTTCTGATTGGCAAGTCCTAGGCTCTGTGGTTTACACAGCGCCACCCGCTTCCCTCAAGATTAGGTATTCCTGCATAATATTTCCTGCTGTTTATTAAGTCGTGTTTTCTTTCTTCTTGGCTGTGCTTTTTATCTTACAATGTTGGTTTAATTTTAATGTGCCCTGCTTTGGGCGCAAGAGAGGGTGGTAATAATAATTAGATGAACAATGGGGTTCTCTCGTGCTGGTCTGCGTAGTGGCAGCAATCGGAACAGGGATCTCCTCCTCGCTGGGCAGGGGAACTCCCTTACAATCTTACATATTCTAGTAAGTATTAAGAGTTAAGTAACATTGCAGATGAATCAGTGAGACTGCACTCACTGACCATGACTGGCAGCACATTCTGAGAAAAACTTGGGGTTAATACAGCACACATCACATGGTGGTTGATGGGTTGGCCAATGACTTCAGATATTCTAGGCAGAAGCATCAGGAAAGGAAGTGAAAAGTCTGTACGTGGTGGCAATTCCTTCTTCTGGCAAGGGTGGGATTGGTAGCGACTGCAGCCTTGTGACTCACTTCTTGAAATAACTGCCCCTATTAATAAACGCTGTTAACTAGAGTCTCTTCCTCTTTAACGGGGCCAGTGTTGCGTACATAACATTTTGTGCTTCCAAGCCCTTAAAAGCTGTATGGACATGTTGCCAATTCCTACTCCATTCAGCCAGAAGATTATGGCACCAACGGTGTAATGTAGCACAGTCCATAAGAGAAATTACCTAACGATGTTCAGTAAAAAGCCACACAACTCTATACCTCCCCTCTTATTTAGTTCTAACTTAATTTTGTGAACAGGAGCTCAGAAAGCTGCTGTCTGGATACGGGCTAAATTTCATGAACTTACCTTGTCTATGGTCTGGGTGCCTTGCTAAATTATTAGTCTGCTTAGAAAGCAAATTACTGCACTTTCTTTCTCAAGTTAGTGATTTGACCTGAAAGGTATTCCTTATTCTGTTTCAGACAAGAGGGAGTCGAACAAGGTATTTACATCCCAATAGAAGTTACAGTCCAGACTGAAGAAGGGAAAATACTTAAGAGTCGGAGCTACCAAATGGCAGACTATGTCTTAGGCCTTCCTTCCCCGCAATATAAAAAGGTAAGTTTCATTTGTGATTCTAAGGAGAATATGAGCGGATGAGAGAGAAACTGGGTTACTAATCATAGTAGTAAGTGTAGGGTTTCTGCAAGTGAAAAAAAAGTAAAAATTTGGTTTTCCATAAAATTCATGCCCTAAGCTACTGCAAAAGTAATTAATGTGGCAAGCTGAAGTTACGAGTACCTTCATTTTATGACATGTTTATCTGATGCACACATGTCCTTGATAATTATTTTACATATATGGCATTGTTTCACATGTGATTTCATACTATAAAGCTCTTGTAATATCTGAGTTCTTGTAACTTCCATTGCCCCTTTAGCACTGTGGTTGTCACTTTTACAAAGGAAGATGGCACATTCAAAATTCATTCATAAAAGCCTACCTACATGATGCTTAGTAGTTCTCCCCTTTGGGACAACTAAGCTGTCCGTGGAACATGAAAAGAGAAATAGCTTAGCTACTTTGATACTAGGGTTATGTGAGTTGTGCTTTTATAGCGGCACTTGGGGATTGCCACATGATATGGTGCTTAAGCCAGATCAGTGCTGCCTCCTTTTCTCCACCAAGGAGCAAACTCAGGCTCCGTATAGGCCTGCTGAGTTAGGCAAGTGGCTTGTATAATATCAGTCGGGCTGATGACTTAGTGATAGCTTCCTCCCTTTAATATAGCCATGGCCATAAATATACACTAGTGGCCTAAATTGTGGACACCTTTTGGGAAAAGTGTATTTCTGAGGTTTGATGGCTCATAACACCACTTTTGTTTTGGAGTAATACCATAAAATTATATATCAATGGAAAGTTAATTTAATAAAGAATGTAATGCAACAAAGTTTGTTCAATTATCTGTATCCTATCAAAAGTTATAGCCAAATAACCAGAAAAAGGAAGCACAACTTGCTTAGGTTGATATGCAGTATCTTTCCTTCATTTGAATGTAGCCAATGAGCACGAGTTTTTAGAGAGCCAATCAGGTGTTGTGAGCCATCAAACCTCGGAAATACACTTTCCCCCAAGGCAAAGGTAAAGGGACCCCTGACCGTTAGGTCCAGTTGTGGCCGACTCTGGGGTTGCGGTGCTCATCTCGCTTTATTGGCCGAGGGAGCCGGTGTACAGCTTCCAGGTCATGTGGCCAGCATGACTAAGCCGCTTCTGGCGAACCAGAGCAGCGCATGGAAACACCGTTTACCTTCCCACTGGAGTGGTACCTATTTATCTACTTGCACTTTGACGTGCTTTCGAACTGCTAGGTTGGCAGGAGCTGGGACCGAGCAACAGGAGCTCACCCCGTTGCGGGGATTCAAACCACTGACCTTCTGATCGGCAAGTCCTAGGCTCTGTGGTTTAACCCACAGCGCCACCCGCGTCCCACTTTCCCCCACAGGTTTCCACAATTTTGGCTGCTAGTGTAGTCGAAGACACTTCTGCAGCCCTCCCCTTTGCAGGGGTTAGGTGGCAGACTCTCCTAACCCTGCTGCAACGTGGTCTGATGTTGGTCATACATTTCCTTTAAGAGGGTTATCTAAGAACCATGTCAGCTTGAGCCCAGATCCCGCTTGGCTTGGAAGCGCCCGACTTAAACTCATACCCTTGTTCAGCAGCTAGCTGATCATGACTACTTTAAAAGCAGCGGTAGCAGCAGAGAGCAGTTCTGGCTCCATAGGAGGCCGGTTGGCTTTTCCCGAGTCTCTTCCTTATGGGGTTGGGGGAACATTGAAGGAATGTGCAGAATGGTTGGGAACACCCAATTGCTCCCCCCCCCCTCCAGCTGGGTCCTCCTTCCTAACTGCAGAAACATTATTGTCAATGGCACACAAAAACGGTGGATCCAGTCTTGAGCCAGGGCCCATTCTGATAGGAAGAGTATCATAAAATCATAGAGTTGGAAAGGACCCCCAGAGGTCCTCCATGACACATGGCCACCCGACCTGTGCTTAAAAACCTCCAAGGAGGAGAATCCATTCACAGCCTTCCAAGGGAGACTGCTTCGTTCCTTACTGCCAGAAAGTTCTTCCTGAGTCGTTTGGTTGGAATCTCCTTTCTTGTAACTTGAAGCCATGGGTTCGAGTCCTACCCTCCAGAGCAGGAGAAAACAAGCTTGCTCCATCTTCTTCCATGGGGCAGCCCTTGAGTAGCAACCTCCCTTCTCTTCTATCGTGGACTTTTCCACTCCTGGGAATAGGGATGAGGAGGTGTTGCCCCAGCACTTCTGGAGATAATCCACCAGTGAACGAACACGCTCCATATGTCTGTTTCAAATGTAGAACCAGCTGAACCTGCAAAACCTGTGAGATCTGTTAAGGCTCCCAACATTGGCCGTGTTACTACATGTCAAGAGTAGCTTGGTAGACGCTTAATGGCACATGCAGCCCATAACACGGTAGTTTTCAGCTGCTATTGGATGCCAAGACTGTTACCCAAATAAAAACTGATATACTGTACTTCCTGGTTATTATTATTTTTTAATTATCCAATTTTTTAACCGCTTAAGACAATCAGATTCGTATCCCTGTACAGATAACTGCCCTCAACCCCTTCTCATTAGATGTAGAGAGAAATAAGTAATCTGCCCATCTCTCACCTTTGTCAGCTGTTGCCTTGCCAATCTTAGGGGCAGGGCACATATTTTCAGTTTCAGGAAATCAAGTCATAGAATGAGCATTTCTGCTTAATTTTGCTGCTTCCTAAGTAGGACCCCTGCATATTTTACATAAACTAAAGCATTCAGTATTTCATTATTACATCCATCAAAACTTACTGACAGTTGAATGTATCTTAATGCTGCCAAGGTTTTCAAGTGTACATAATTTCCCCCCCGTATATCCAATAAACATTTTCCAATATTCTTTAAACGTATGTTCTTCTTGTCCTCTTATTCTATATGTTAGGTCCACAAGCTGCACATATTCCATCAGTTTAAGTTGCCATTCTTCTTTAGTTGGGACCTCGCTCATTTTCCATTTTTGGGCTAACAAAACATGTGCTGCAGTAGGGACATAAATAATACTGTTGCTTTAAATCCTCATTTAATGTGGTTCTTCGTAGGTCATTTGTATGGGCGCAAAGCAGAACGGTTTGCCAGTGGACTACCAGAAGAAATTAGACTCTATACAGACGAATGACTATGCAGGACCTGTGCCGGTTTTTGATGAAATTGAAGCTGCCCTCAGCAAAAATGAGATAACGAAATAATAAAGAAATGTTTTAGAATCACCTGCTTTGGTTTCTCTTGATCATCGTTTTATTTGAGTACCTCTCTTATTTTGTTAAATCCTATGCATGTCTGCTCAGTTGTGAGCCCCACTGAATTCAATGATACTTCCATCTAGGATGGTATAGGATTGCATCCAAAAATGAGAACAAAAAGCTCTTGGGTGCATCCTTGATTAAGAAATGACATTTAAGGTGGTGCTTGATTAAGTTGTGCTTCTAATACACAACGGCAATATTAACTGTATTTATTCCGGATTGATTTTTTGCTTTGTTTTCTATCTCCATGGCAAATACTACAAAGCCAGACTGAAGAGGGATCACACAATTTGCTTTAATTGACAAGGGTGTCTGCATACCAGCTCGGTCTGTCATCAAAAATATCACACAGAGCTGGCGCTGTCTGTCTTTCTTGCAAATCCACCCCTCTTTTATTTATTTTTATAATAAAAAAAGCTGGTTTCCCAAAAACCCACCCGTTTCACCACAGAGATTTTGTACTAATTTATTTTGGAGTTGGGGGAGAAGAGGAGTTTCTGGCTTCGTACATTTCCCACTGTTTTATTACCCCATGCAGATCTTTGAACTCCCCCCATCTTGTCACGTCAAACATGTTGCTGTGAACGCATCGGTAACAGTGTGCATAACCAAGATGTTGAGTTTGGGAAAGGAAAAAAAAACCCCAAAAATACGGCGCTGTTCAGTAGGAGCGCACACTTCAGTCAAGCTTAATTTAAAATGTTTCATCCACTAAAACCGGTGGCCTTACTTGGGCAAATCTATAAATATATATTTGAAGTGGTGTTTTCTTTTTAAATGAACACTTGAATGTGATAAGTACTCTTTCACTTTTTATTTAAACCCTAAAATGTAACGGCATAGAAGGGCAAAAGTTCATAGCACAAAGGGATAATGAAGTATTAAATCATAGCAAGATTCCCTTTACAAATAAAGATTCGTAAAAACAAACTTATTCTGCACTGGTGTGGTTCATCATTTCTGTGACTAAAAGGTTCTACCTAGTCCTAAATGAGCCAGACATTTGCATATACCTCTGGCACACTGAGTGACCATGCGCTTCAATAGCTGTATGAGAATTATTATTTTTTTTTAATTTGAGCTCTGCCCTTGAGATGCTTTTAATTTATGAGAGATCTTTCCAAGATCCTCTACATAGCTCAATAGGCAGTGCGTGAGACTCTTGATCTTAGGGTCTTGGGTTCAAGCCCCATGTTGGGTGAAAGATGCTTGCATGCCAGGAGGCTGGACTACATCAGTGTTTCCCAAATTTGGGTCTCCAGCTGTTTTGGGGAGTACAGTTCCCATCATCCCTGACCACTGGTCCTGCTAGCTAGGGAAGATGACAGTCCAAAAACAACTGTTTTGGGGACTACAATGCCCATCATCCCTGGCCACTGGTCCTGCTACCTAGGGGTGATGGCAGTCCAAAAACCGCTGTTTTGGGGACTGCAATACCCATCATCCCTGACCACTGGTCCTGCTGATGATGCCCCTCGTGGCCAAGCCTGCGATTCTATGCAGGGGAAATTGGCCCAACCGTCGAATACCGGCCCTCCAAATCACGAGGATCAAAGACCTCTCGGGATCCCGTGATACAGCCCGGGAGATCTTGCTCCGTTCGGGACCCGAGGAACGGGGATCCTTTGCTCTCCAGATCCCGTTCTGCTCCCGCCTCCGGGTTGCCCAAAGCGCACCTTCCAGCCCCTTGAGACGTCTCCGGAGGAGGGCGGCGCCTGGGTCGCCTGCGTCCCCTTAGCCGGGCGGGGCAGGCTGGGATCCGGCGCGATCGGCTCGGGATCCCGGGGAGGGGGCGGCAAGAGAAGCCGCCGCAGCGCCCGCTCTCACTTTCGGCGAGCCGCGCGGGGGAGGCGCCCGCCTCCTTCCTCCTCCCCTCACTTTCACTTTTCCTTTCTCCGCCTCCCTTTCTCCCATGATCCAGCCGCGGGGACGTTTCCGGCGCTCAGTTGGAAAGTTTTCGACCGAGGAGGCGGCAGGCGTGGGGGGCTGGAGAGCAGCCAGAGGAGGGCGAGAGATCCACACCCCACCCCCCCGCGAAAAAGGCCAGGATTGGTGAGGGGAAAAGAGGATCTCTCCCCACTAGGAAACACAGCCGCGGACGACTCCAGCATCCTGCAAGCTGCGGGCAGGGATGGCCAAGTCGAGCCCGGCAGAAACGCGCTTCTGAACCCGGCCATGGGGCGGAGCTGATCCCGGGGGTGGGTATTTTCTCCTGCCACTCCCCCCCCCCCCCTTGACTGGCCTGCGGATCAAGAGACCTTCCCTCCTCCATCCTCGAATTGGAGGATCGTGCCTGAGGATGCAAGTTTGTTTATTTGTTTATTTGGTTTTTTTTTAAACTGCGTGTTTGTTTGCAGCATTGCAGGGGGTTGGACTAGATGACCCCGGGGGTTCCCTTCCAACTTTGCAAATCTAGGATTCCTTGTTAAAAGAGAGAGGCAGAAACCCTAAAGAGAAGAGGGCATCATTGCATGCCACCTAAAAACACTGAAATGCTGCAAGACTGAAGGCCATTTGTGGGTGCCGGCTAAGAGGCAGGGGTCTCCTTGGGTGGTGCTTTCATTGGCAGTTAGTTGGCGTTAATTGGCAGAGGCCCCCAGCAGAGAGAAGCAGATGGATTGTGGTTAGACACTTCTTTGCATTGGCAGCAGCTGACAGCAAGCATGCGCCTTCGTTCTGCTGCTTTCAGGACCTGCCAAAAACTTTTTTGTTGTTGTTTAGGCAAGCCTATCCAAAACATGTGATTATATTTCGCCCCTTTTTTCCCAAAATCTGTAGATTTAAAATCGTACTTCATTTATATTTTAACCATTTTATTACTGTGTCTACCGCGGTCTGTGTTCGTTGCTATTTTTCAACAAATATTTTTACACCGTTTCATGTAAACGGCTTGGGCCTTTGCCTAAAAAATTAAGTGGCATATAAATAAAATGAGAGAGTTGAGATCATGAGGACTAGCCTCTTCCCTGGAAAGAAGTGTTTTGGGTGCCCGACTCCAGAGACTTCTGCCCTGCTTCCCATTCACAGCCTATTGAATAGAAGAGAGAGTGACGACTCGCCAGTCGAAAGGAGATGTGTGCCTGTGATTTTAAAATACTATAATTATTAATTTGCTTTCGGTGCGAAATGTCCCAAGATTCGTGTGGGCAACATGAGCGAGTGCTGGGTGCAGGAAGCCTGGTCTGCACCCTTATTTTTGAAAGATATTTTGCAGGCCCCGTGTGCTGTAAAATATAAGAGTATTGGACTTGCATCGTATGAACACATGGGGTCAAGCCGGGGTCCTGAGTTACAGTCTGGTCTATGCCAGCTTTTCCCAAACTGGCGGCTGGCAGGTGTTTTGAACTATAGTTCTCATCAGCCCCTTGTAGTCCAAGACACTTGGCTGCCTTCAGATGTCTTCTACAAGTCAGATAGATGTTTATTTCCTTGACATCTGATGAGAGGGCGTTCCACAGGGCGGGCGCCACCACTGAGAAGGCCCTCTGCCTGGGTCCCTGCAACCTCACTTCTCACAGGGAGGGAACTGCCAGAAGTCCCTCAGAGCTGGACCTCAGTGTCCGGGCTGAACAATGGGAGTGGAGATGCTCCTTCAGGTATACCTGGCCGAAGCCGTTTAGGGCTTTAAAGGTCAGCACCGACACTTTGTTTTTTTAAAAAAAATAATATTTATTACTTTTCCAACAATTTAAACACACACAAACAAAAAATAAGAAGAAAAAAGAAAAACAATACAGTACATTACAAAAACACTACATAACACCTTAAACTAACAAGACAAAACAAAAACAATTTAAAAAACATCAAACAATTTCAGTATCTTATCTTTCATTCACTTATTTCAGTGACCTCCTCACACCTCCCTTTTTGTATTCCACTTCTGTTGATTGTTTCAGCAATTCCTTTTCATCTTCCTCTTCTTTCTATCCTTTAATTATCTTAACACATTCTAACCTTATTTTTTCCTTTAATACTCTATTAATCTATTTATACTTAATTCCTTATAACATTTCTACTGAAGCCGTATAACTTCATTCCAACATTTTTCTAACATTCATTAATTTTACAGTATTTCTGTAAATAGTCTTTAAACTTTTTCCAGTCTTCTTCCACCGACTCTTCTCCCTGGTCTCGGATTCTGCCAGTCACAGCACCGACACTTTGAATTGTGCTTGGAAACGTACTGGGAGCCAATGTAGGTCTTTCAGGACCAGTGTTATGTGGTCTCAGCGGCCACTCCTAATCACCAGTGTAGCTGCTGCATTCTGGATTAGTTGTAGTTTCCGAGTCACCTTCAAAGGTAACCCCACGTAGAGCGCATTGCAGTAGTCCAAGCGGGAAATAGCTAGAGCGTGCACCACTCTGGCAAGACAGAAATAATTTCTCTCACTCGCAGTGAACTTAGGCTGATTTCGATGTGCTGGTTTTGGTGTGCAAAAAGCCCTATACAGTTTGGGACCCGATGCCTAAAATAACCTCCTTGCGGAAGCTCCCTTCTCAGGAGGTCTGTCCTGCTCCCGAATCAGTGTCTTGTGGCACCTACCCCTTGGAATTCCCTCCCTATGAACATTGTTATTTTCTCCACACCTATTGATGACGTCCCTCTTCCAGGAAGCCTTCTAAGAAGAGACCTTTCCCAGCTTGCATCTGGATCGGAATTGCTTTTAGAAGTTTTAATTGTTAATTAACGTTTGCCATCCTTGGCTCCTTGGGGAGGAAATCTTAACAGGTCATACATGAAAGTTCCCTAATGCTGCGCAGGTGTAGGAAGGTTTGGTGGGGGGGGGGTAAAGTTTTCACCAGGAAACTAGGAAAACAGCTGGGATTTCATGTGTTCAGTTCTGAGAAAATATCTGAAATATTGAGCAATTTTTCATGCCTGACTTCCCCAACCCATTAATCTAGTTTTTTATTTTTCTCTCTCCAGCATTCAGATCCATTGAGTTCAATAGATATGCTACGTTGTGTATCACCCCTAGATTTTATTCAGTTGTCCCTAGATTTTATCTAGTTGTAGGAAAAACGTTAATAGGTGTAATAGGTTCGGAATTTTTAATAGTTGCATTGGCATAAGTAGTAATACCTGGTTTTGCTTATTTGTGTGTTTGCTTGTTTTTTGGTTCGTTTATTGTGCTCTGGATTTTGGCCATGCTCCTGAACTGCAGCCCCAGAGTTTCTAGTTTCTTCAGGGAGAGACACTCCCTTGTCTCAGGAATTTGTGACATCCTTGTGTTGAGCAATTCTTGCAGCTCAAACATGTGAGCCACATTTTAGCCAGAAGCTCTAGCCAAGAATTGATGCTTTTGAATTATGGTGCTGGAGGAGACTCTTGAGAGTCCCGTGGACTGCAAGAAGATCAAACCTCTCCATTCTGAAGGAAATCAGCCCTGAGTGCTCACTGGAAGGACAGATCCTGAAGCTGAGGCTCCAATACTTTGGCCGCCCCATGAGAAGAGAAGAGTCCCTGGAAAAGACCCTGATGTTGGGAAAGATGGAGGGCACAAGGAGAAGGGGACGACAGAGGACGAGGTGGTTGGACAGTGTTCTTGAAGCTACCAGCATGAGTTTGACCAAACTGCGGGAGGCAGTGGAAGACAGGAGTGCCTGGCGTGCTCTGGTCCAGGGGGTCATGAAGAGTCGGACATGACTAAACAACAACAACAAATGGAAGGATTTCAACCATGAATTCTGATCAGTTGAAGAACCTACCATTTTTACCTATCTCTTTGCCAGGAACGATTTCCTGTTCACCACTCGGAAATAATTTTATTTACAGTGGTACCTCGGGTCACATACGCTTCAGGTTACAGACTCCGCTAACCCATAAATAGTACCTCGGGTTAAGAACTTTGCTTCAGGATGAGAGCAGAAATTGTGCAGCAGCGGGAGGCCCCTTTAGCTAAAGTGGTGCTTCAGGTTAAGAACAGTTTGAGGTTAAGAACGGACCTCCGGAACGAATTAAGTACTTAACCCAAGGTACCACTATATTTGAAAGCTTTCAGTGCAGAGGCTTTCTCTTTTCAAGAGTGCCTAAAATTTTTATTCCAAAGTGAAAGCGAATTTACTTCCATTCAACATGTGTGTGTTTATCAAGCGTCCCTCCAGACAGCCGTTTGACTTATCATTAATGATTATTTGAGTTCATAATGGTATCGAGGCATCGATCCTGCATTTAGAATGAACTGTATTCATTTTTTTTATTTCTTTATGTATTTATATCCCACCCTTTGTCCCAAAGGAGCCCAGGCCTGCAAACACATCTGTAATAAATATGCTTTTATTGCTATTGTATATCTTAAAACAACTAAAACAGAGTTAATAACAGTCTTCTCATCTCTTTAAAGTATCATTATGCCTGAGTTTACATATATGCAAGAGTGCATCTCTTTTAATATCACCTTCATTATCTCAGAGATTATAACTATAGAAACACAAATATGTTTTCAGCTTTTGAATCTGTTTTTTAAAGAACCAAAAAAACCAACAACTGTTGCCTGTAATTCTCAAGAGTGGCTAGGAAAACAGTAATTTGGGAGTGATTTTCAAACAGATAAAAAGCCTCTCAGAAGGCTTCAAAAGTACAATTCTCAAATTGTTAAATGTTAGGCACAGCACTGGATTTAAATAAATATTATGGGAGCTTCGTGTCATCGAGCTGCTATTTAGATATATTGTACTCTTGCTAATCTACGTACCAATTATCAGTCGACCATATTAGCCGATGTTTTGTGCTGAAAATTCTGCTCTAGCTAAGCCACAGAGGACTTTTTATATGTTCTCCGAGGCTGAGTCACCTGGGTGCTTTTGCAGAGAGAGCGTGCGTGGTGGTAATTCAATAGCTGGGTTACTTCCAAACGATGTTGCAAGCGCAAGCCTTGGACGTGTGTGTTTGCGTGGGGGGGAAGATACTTTCCGGGATCCCAGCCCTCTTGAGAAATAAAGGAAGTGGCTTTCTGCTGAGTTGCCCATTGCTCCATCTATCTCAGAATGGCAGAAATTCTTCAGGGTCTTGGGCAGCCATCCTTCTTCCCAGACCAACCTGGAGATGCCAGGAATTGAATTCTGCTTGCAGTCTCTACCGCACCCACCAAAGACATAAACCGATGGCCCGAGCCAAAGATGTGGTTGCCTCCAGACATCCTTTTTCTTGTGCATTCGTGATGATTCGTTCCTATGACACCATCCGGATGGCCACACACACTCCTGCTGTCCGTACTATTTGTGCCTTCCTTTTTTTTTTAATAATAATTTTTATTGATTTTAACATATAAATTATAAAGTGTACCACAAAACTTATCACTTACACAATCTTTTTAGACTTCTAGCAGCACCTCTGATAATCCACCGTTTTATCCACTTCTCATACATTTCTTAGCTTTATATTGCCTTAAAGTCTCTTAACAAATTATCCTTCCCCTTACCTGTTTTTGCAATACTTCCAACAATACTCCTCACAGAACCTCTTGCAAACCTACAAACATCGTCTGATCTTCACAAATGCTTTTCAAATAGTCCGTAAATTTACTCCAGTCTTCTGTGAATTTCTGGTCCCGCCGGTTTCGAATTCTTCCTGTTAGTTTTTCTAGTTCTGCATAGTCCATTAACTTCATCCTCCATTCTTCAATTGTCGGTAATTCTTCTTGCTTCCTACTATTTGTGCCTTCCAACGTGTGGGGCGGTCAGAATGCTCTGGTAACCTCTAGGTTAGATTACTGCCATGGGTGATCCGTAGAGCTGCCTCTGAAGACGGCTTGGAAACTTCAGCTAGTTCAGAACTGGGCTACCAACCTGGAGCAAGATGGTTTGAGCATGTTGCACTGATCCTGGTCCGACTGCACTGGCTGCCAGTTAGTTTCCGGGCCCAATTCAAAGTGCTGGTTTCGACCTATAAAGCTTGAAATGGCTCGGGACCACAGCACCTGAAGGCCCACCTCTTTCCATATGAATCTACCTGGACCCTGAGATCATCTTCTGAGGTCCTCCTTCGTGTGCCTCCTCCTCAAGAGGTGTGGAGGGAGGCAACACGAGAACAGGGCCTCCTCTGCAGTGGCTCCCCGTCTGTGGAATGCTCTCCCCAGGGAAGTTCGCCTGGCGCCTTTGTTATACACATGGTTATGAGGCAAAAACATTCCTCTTCAACCGGGCCTTTGGCTGATTGCCATTCAATGTCCTTTTAATTGTGCTGTGGGAGAGGGAGATTATCGGCTTTCTTTTGTTCTTTTTAAAATAAATTTATTCATTTGGTTTTTCAACTTAAAATTTTAGAGAGAGATATCAACTATAAATCATAAAAACAAGATTCCAAGGAATCTCCTGGAAAAACTTGAAATTTGCTAACCGACCAGGTAAATTGCTGGCATGGCAGCTAAAGAAGAAACAAAATATAAAATTCATACGTAAATATAGAAGAGAAAATTGTAGATAATCCGAAAGATATAGGAAAGCTTTTGTTCTTATTTTTATTATGTATTTTGTGTTTATTAATATTGTGATTTCATGTCGTGAACTGCTCTGAGATCTACAAGTGAAGGGTGGTACCCAAGCTTAATAAATAAAAACCAATAATAAAACCACAATTTCCAATTAGCTCATGTGACTCCGTGACATTTCCTCTGAGTCGCCCTACAACTTAATGGATGTTTGCGTGCTCCTCTCTTTGCAGATCCAGCAAAGCCGAGCAGAATCGTTCCTCTTGCATGGAGCCGGCTGCCGGGGCCACTTTACATCGCACCTCTGCCGCTTTCCAAAGATGAGTTTGGAAGAAGCAGCCTCTTACTCTCATCACGATGGAAGCTCAGCCCCCTGGTAATGGAGAGATTCTTCAACAAGGCCCTTCGGCGGCCCGTCCGCCATCCTTCGTTAATTTGCTGAAAGTGCACCGAGAGCTGCTGGTTGGCAAAGTCCGTAATACCCAGTGTTTGATTGACAACTTGATCAAGAATGAATACTTCTCTACCGAGGATGCTGAGATTGCAGCACAATATCCTACACAAGCGGACAAGGTATCTGCATCCCTTTCAGACTTGTACAGTGGTACCTCCGGTTACATATGCTTCAGGTTACATACGCTTCAGGTTACAGACTCCGCTAACCCAGAAATAGTACCTCGGGTTAAGAACTTTGCTTCAGGATGAGAACAGAAATTGTTCTCTGGCGGCGCGGCTGCATCAGGAGGCCCCATTAGCTAAAGTGGTGCTTCAGGTTAAGAACAGTTTCAGGTTAAGAACGGACCTCCGGAACGAATTAAGTACTTAACCCGAGGTACCACTGTATTCGGATTCGATGGCAAGGAGATTAGAGGAGGTTGACTATTCTGTGAGTGTTCGTTCGGATTTGTCAGCAGAGAGGTTAGACCAGGGGTAGGCAAACTAAGGCCCGGGGACTGGATGCGGCCCAATTGCCTTCTCAATCTGGCCTGTCCCAGTGTGTTTTTACATGAGCAGAATGTGTCCTTTTATTTAAAATGCGGCCTAGGACCCACGTACCTACGGGACGGCCTCTCCTGGTATGCCCCGCAGAGGACCTTAAGATCCACAAATAACAACACTTTGAAGGTCCCAAGCCTCAAGGAGGTTAGATTGGTCTCAACTAGGGCCAGGGCCTTTTCAGTACTGGCCCCGGCGTGGTGGAACGCTCTGTAACAAGAGACTAGGGCCTTGCGGGAGTTGACATCCTTCCGCAGGGTCTTAAAGACAGAGCTGTTCCACCTGGCCTTTGGTTTGGACTTGGTCTCACCCTTATGTTTCCCTCCCTTTATGGTCTTGATTTATCAGCTACTTTAAAATGAGGCTATATTTTAAATTGGGTTTTTTCCCTCCCCCCCTTTCCCCCTATTATGTTTTTACTGTGATTTTATTGGTGTTAGCCACCCTGAAAACGTTTGCTGCCCCCTGGGTTAGACGATGATTCATCTTCACCCCAGCACTGCTCTTTTCAAGCCCTCTGCACTCCTCCCCGCGTTTCCCCTTTGCACCTCTGACATTGGGGGGTGGAAAAACAGGGGGACGACTGCAAAGGCTTCCTCCTATCACTTTGTTCCCGCTTCTCCGCCGCCAATTTCTGCTGCGTTGAGAAGGAGGAGAGGACGTCTCCCTTTTGTCTATCCCCCGTGAAGCAAAATAAAGGATGCCTTCTTCCCTCTGACTTCCCCCAGAGGCAGCTGAGCGCCCGGGAAGCCCACAAAGGCTTCGGACAGGTGGGCGGGGCAATCGCCTGACAACCACATGACATCACAGTGACATCATGTGGCGCAGCAGATTTTGCCCACAAGGCCAATCCTGATAAAGATCTGGCCCATGGAGCCAAAAAAGTTTCCTCGTCTCTGTAGTACAACATACTAAAAGGTAAAGGTAAAGGGACCCCTGACCATTAGGTCCAGTCGTGTCCGACTCTGGGGTTGCGGCGCTCATCTCGCTTTATTTGCCGAGGGAGCCGGCGTACAGCTTCCGGGTCATGTGGCCAGCATGACTAAGCCGCTTCTGGCGAACCAGAGCAGCACACGGAAACGCCGTTTACCTTCCCGCCTATTTATCTACTTGCACTTTGACGTGCTTTTGAACTGCTAGGTTGGCAGGAGCAGGGACTGAGCAACGGGAGCTCACCCCGTCATGGGGATTCGAACCGCCGACCTTCTGATCGGCAAGTCCTAAGCTCTGTGGTTTAACCCACAGCGCCACCCGCGTCCCGTACAACATACTAAGATCAGTACAAAAAGTAAGATGGGCCTGTATTCATGTGGACCCTGGACTTGTGGTTCTGGGCTCATTTGTCCCAATTGACAGAGCCATAGCCCATGCGAATAATAGTCCCCTCCTGGCAACATCCCAGTAAGGCAAAGATTCTTTATGTGGGGTTTTTTTTCTAAACAGTAAGGGAGAGAAAACCTGTACTTCTGGCCATAACTGACCCTTCCTCCAGCCTCTGGAGTTAATTCTGTTTCTCCAGTTAATAATTGTTAGTTTTCTGCAGCCTCTGGCTGATGGGCTTAAGGAACCAGTTATTCAACATTTGAAATTTCATTCCCTCACTGCGGTCGGTCAGGGTGTTTTGTGTACTCAGAGATTCTTCAGGGTGCCGATTCTCGAGGCTCAAAATGACTCCTGCTGTGTTTGTTGAAATACATTCATGCCTTCCATAGTTTTAGTTACTGGTAGGTAGCCATGTTGCTCTGCCGTAGTCGAAACAAAATTAAAAAATTTCTTCCAGTAGCACCTTAGAGACCAACCAAGTTTGTTATTAGTATGAGCTTTCATGTGCAGGACTATTTAACTGCTCATCTTCTAACATTGCGCATGCCATCAAATACCAACAGTGCCCTTCAGCTCTCTATATTGGACAAACAGGCCAAACCCTATGTCAAAGGATAAAGGTAAAGATAAAGGGACCCCTGACCGTTAGGTCCAGTCACAGATGACTCTGGGGTTGCGGCGCTCATCTCACTTTATTGGCCGAGGGAGCCGGAGTACAGCTTCCGGGTCATGTGGCCAGCATGACTAAGCCGCTTCTGGCAAATCAGAGCAGTGCACTGAAACAACGTTTACCTTACCGCCGGAGCGGTACCTATTTATCTACTTGCACTTGATGTGCTTTTGAACTGCTAGGTTGGCAGGAACTGGGACCCAGCAATGGGAGCTCACCCCGTCGCGGGGATTTGAACCGCCGACCTTCTGATCACAAGACTGAGAAACCAGTAGGAGAACACTTCAGTCTCCCAGGACATTCTATACAAGATCTCAAGTAGCTGTCTTATTACAAAAGAATTTCAGAAATAGAGTGGAAAGAGAAATTGCTGAACTGCAACTTATTACCAAACTTAAAACCATGGAGAGACCTGGTCTGAATAGAGACATTGGATTCTTACCTCATTATACTGTACATGATAAAGCTATTTCTAGCCATCTCACCCCTTGCTTTTTCCTGCAGTTGTTAACAGTCGGCAACAGGTTTACCACACCTATCAGCCAATCACCCATTCCCACCACTCTTCTGAGTCATACCCTCCCCACCCTCTCACTATATATAAGGGTCTGGTGACTTCTGTATCAGTGTATCTGAAGAAGTGTGCATGCGCACGAAAGATCATAACAATAACAAACGTAGTTGGTCTCTAAGGTGCTACTGGAAGGAATTTTTTTATTTTGCATTTATGCCCTTTAGCTTGTGTTCAAACCAATGTGGCGAGACAGGTGGTCCGTTGCCAAATCTAACCACGGTTTCTCTGAAAGTCTGTGCATTTGGGGAGCCAATTAGCTGAATCGTATTCCTGGGATTCAGAGTTTGGCGTGTTTGCTTGTATGGTGGTAGTTGGGTCGATGTTTGGGCAAAAACATCTGGAGGGTTGTTTTCCTCATGTCACAAGAATGAAGTTGTGGGATCCCTAAACCATAAAACTGAGAAGACATTCTGGTTGCATTCAGACAGCACGTCGTTCCCTTTGCATGATCATCGAACCATAGAATTGTAAGGGGCTATGAAGGTAATCTGGTTCAACCCCCTGCAATTCAGGTATCCTTTTGCTCAATTTGAGGCTCGAACCCACAACCCTGAGATTAAGAGTTTTCCTTACCTGATAAGGGTCACATTTTATATGACCTTTCACGCGACGTAAACGCCACTTTTCGAAACCGAGTGGACCCCAGTGGAAGTTCAGCACTCGTGTCTGCTTTTTGAGGGAGAGAAAATCCGATTGCACCCCCATTTAACCCGCAAAAACGTGGGCTGAAAGTTGGGGCGGTATCCCGCAACATATGATTCTTTCCCGCCAGTTTCATGGGTGAATCATGGGGAAACAGAAATGCACATAAAGCGGGAGGGTGGTAACTGTTAGAATTCCTGCTCCGTGATTGCAGTCATGGGGTTTTTGTCTATCACATGACAATATATGTTTTGACTCCACAAAGTGGGAAGTGACGGAGACAGGATGTTTGTGTTACTGTGTTCCGTGAAGTGGGACTATTGTCCTTTGTTCATTCTCTTTGCTGTCTGATGCTAGAGAGAGAGGGAGCCATGTTGCAGTGCTCCATGTGTGTTTATATGTAAATAAACATAGATTAGCCAAAATGCTAAGGTCTGTTACGCAAGCTGCAAAGACTCTGCGGATCCCTAAGTGTGCCGATGTCTGTTGGCATTGGTCACTGTGATGTTTGGGCAGAAGAAAGCTTTTGAAGGAAGACCAGGAGGGAGAGAACATGCCAGTCAGGCATGTGTCTCTGCCAGGGTCCTACTCGAGTGTAGGCTGAGCTCCTGACAGTAACATGTTGAATGATGCCTGCTGTTGTGTCACGCCACATAGTGTCCCTCTACTTGCAGCTGGTTCGATTGGAATTTAGCACGACGTGGTGGTATAGCCGCAGCTCCATTAAACACCATGCATGCATGAAAAAATGCAACATTGGGACGTTGTTATTGGTTCTGCAAAGAGGCAGGCAGATGGTGTGTTGCCCCACAACAGTGATTGACTCTAGAGTGCTTGAGAGTAGCTATTAATCCGCTGCCTCTGTAGATCTCTGACGTCTCATCTGATCTTTCCGCAGGTCCGCAAAATTTTGGATCTCGCGCAGAGCAAAGGAGAAGAAGTGGCGGAATACTGCGTCTATATCCTGCAGCAAGTTGCAGATGCTTATTACGAGCTGCAACCGTGGCTAGAAGAAATTGGGTTTCGCCCTTCAGAGGTCGTTGGTAATAAGCCCGTTGAAAATACCGACCCAGGTAGGATGTCTGCTTTTGGAAGACTCATTCCCTGTAGAAAAAGCTTGTCTGGGTAATCCCATCATTCATTGCTTCAATGTTGGTGAAACGCTTTTTCCAGGAGAAATAAATAATGAAGGTTAGCAGGGTGATTTTCTCAGGGTACGCTTCCCATAAACAGACTACGTTTGCAGATTGCATCCTGCTGTTCGCATTTACCCAGCCTGAAGCTGGTGGCTTGTTCCTCTGTGCATGAAACGTAGGAGCTCTAGCAGAGTATCTAATGCAGCCTCCTCAAACCCGCTCCTCCTCCTCCTAATAATAATAATAATAATAATATTATAATAACTTATTATTTGTACCCTGCCAATCTGGCTGGGTTTCTCCAGCTACTCTGGGCGGCTCCCAGCAAAATATTAAAAACAGGATAAAACATCAAACGTTAAAGACTTCCCTAAACAGGGTTGCCTTCAGATGTCTATAAAAGTCAGATAGGTGTTTACGTCTTTGACATCTGCTGGGAGGGCGTTCCACAGGGCGGGCGCCACTACCGAGAAGGCCCTCAGCCTGGGTCCCTGCACCCTCACTTCTCGCAGGGAGAGAACCACCAGAAGGCCCTCAGAGCTGGATCTCAGTGTCCGGGCAGAACAATGGGGGTGGAGACGCTCCTTCAGGTATACTGGGCCGAGGCCGTTTAGGGCTTTAAAGGTCAGCACTGACACTTTGAATTGTGCTCAGAAACGTACTGGGAGCCAATGTAGGTCTTTCAGGACTCCCGGTCATCAGTCTAGCTGCCACATTTTGGATTAGTTGTAATTTCCCGGTCACCTTCAAAGGTCGCCCCACGTAGTAATCCAAGCGGGAGATAACCAGAGCATGCACCACTCTGGCGAGAAAGTCTGCGGGCAGGTAGGGTCTCAGCTGGCGTACCAGATGGAGCAGGTAGACAGCTGCCCTGGACACAGAATTGACCTGTGCCTCCACTAAGAGATTGTTGGATCACAACTCCTATCAGTCCCGACCAGTCTGGCTGTCCTGCTTGGGACTGATGGAAGCCGAATCCCAAAATCCCTGCAGGGCTCCAAGTTGGGGAAAGCCAATCTCATGGCTACTTCAAATATATCGTGTATGTTGTAACAAAGGCTTGCTGCACATTTCTGGTGTCAGAAGCCGCTGGAAGACAAAACTGAGAAGGAGGTGCTTTAGGGAGCCTTTAGGGAGCTGAAATGTGTAAAAATAAAATCACTTATTTGAACAGCAGACCTGCATGGCATAAAACAAGCTACTTTGAAAGTGCTCTCAGGGTCAGAGGTGACTTTGCTGTAGGCCAGGCATGTCCAAAATCCGTTTTGGGGGCCTAATTCAGCCCCTGTGGCAGTTTTATTTCCCGGGGTAAAATCCTCAGCAACTTCAATCCTAAAAAAAAGGTTCACAATTTTGGTCGGCCATTCACTTCATCTAATCTGGCCCTCTTTGAAAAAAGTTTGGACACCACTGCTGTAGGCAAACACAAGCCCAAACCCTTATAGAATCCAGCAGAATTGTGGTGGTTGTTACATTTATATCCCAACTTTTCCCCAAAGAGCTCAAGATACAGAATTCTCCCCCTGTGCATTACAACACTAAGGTTGGTTAGGCTGAGAGTGAGTGAGTGACGGGCCCAAGGTCACACAGTGAACTTTATGGCTGAGTGGAGATTTGAACCCTGATCTCCCAGGTCCTAGTCTATCATCTAACCACTACCCCACACTGACTCTCTGCTTTTTTTTTGTACTGGTTTTGTATGAAGTATCTCTTCATGCTGGCTCTCCTGTGCTAGAATTTCTCTTCGTCATAACCAATGCTACCTTTAGTTAGCAGGTACCGTCAGAAACTTAAAGATGAATTGGGCCGAGACACAAAGTTCATCATGTCGTATGCCCAGAAGGAGGACATGTTGCTTGAGGAGATTTATTCCTCCAACATCATGGAGTTTATCAAGGACAACAACGAGAAACTCAGCAACGTGAATAGCTTGGAGGACCTGTTTGATGTCAACGTTGGTCTGATCAATGAAGCTGGAGAGGTGATCTATATCTTTGGTGATGCAGGGATTGGGAAGTCCATTCTCTTGCAAAAGATGCAAAACCTCTGGTCCAAGGGTAAACTCGACGTAGGGGCCAAATTCTTCTTTCGTTTCCGATGCCGGATGTTCAGCTGCTTCAAACAAGATGAAGCCATATGCTTGAAAGATCTCCTGTTCAAGTACAACTGTTTCCCAGACCAGGACCCGGAAGAGGTCTTTGACTTCATCGTGAAGTTCCCTCACACGGTTCTGTTCACCTTCGACGGCTTTGATGAGATCCATTCTGACTTTGACCTCAACAGCATCCCAGAGATCTGCTCCCCCACTGAATCAATCCACCCGCTGGCTTTGCTGGTGGGTCTCCTCAGTGGGAAACTTCTGAAGGGATCTCAGAAAGTCCTGACTGCCAGGACAGGGACGGATGTTCATCGGAACATTGTCCGGAAGAAGGTACATCTCCGAGGGTTTTCCAGCAATAACCTGAAAGAATACACGAAAATGTTCTTCAAAGACGAAGGGTGCAGGACCTTAGTCCTGAACCAACTGGAAGCCAACCCAAATCTGAGCAGTCTCTGCTTAGTGCCTTTGTTCTGCTGGATTATCTTCAAATGCTTTGACCACTTCCACTTGGCCTTCGACAGCCACGAGCTCCCGGATTTCACCGTGACCTTGACTGATATTTTCTTGCTGATGACCGAAGTCCACCTCAACCGAATCCAGAAGACCAACTTGCTGAAGAAGAACAACAGGAGCCAAGTGGAGACCTATCGGTCCAACAAAGAGACGCTGTTTGCTCTGAGCAGAGTGGCCCACGCGGCCATGCAGAAATCTCTCTTTGTCTTTGACCAAGAGGAAGTCCTCGCCAACCTCTCTGAGCAGGAGTTGCAGCTGGGTTTCCTCAGGGCGGTTCCCGACTACGGTGGCCGCGGAGACCAAGTTTCCTACGAGTTCTTGCACTTGACCTTGCAGTCCTTCTTCACCGCTTTGCATCTGGTCACCGACGAGAAGGTGAGCGCCAAAGATCTGCTCCGGTTTTTTGCCGAATGCTCCACCTCAGATGCCGCCCTGCGTTCTTGCTTCCCGATGGCTTGGCTGAAGAAGCACCACCCGACGGGAGAGGACCCTTTCCGGAACAACGAGCACTTCCACTTCACCAACCTCTTCCTCTGCGGCTTGCTGTCCAAGTCGAAGCAGAAGCTCCTGCAACACTTGGTTTCTCCTGCTTCCCTCAAGAAGAAGAGGAAGGTGCTCCTCACCTATTTCTTTGAAAGCATGAAGTCCCACCTGAAGGGACTAACCCGGGCGAGGCTGAAGGAATACCGGCAGATTCAAGTGATGCCCAATTTCATATGGATGTTGAGGTGCATCTACGAGACTCAGAGCGAGAAGGTGGGCATGGGGGTGGCCAAGGGCATGGGCGCCAACTACATCAAGCTCACCTACTGCAACGTCTACTCTGCCGACTGCAGCGCCATCTCGTTCACCATGCATCATTTCCGGAAGCGCCTGGCCCTGGACTTGGACAACAACAACATCAACGATTACGGGATAAAGCAGCTGATGCCTTGTTTCAGTAGGCTAGCGGTACTTCGGTAAGTTCCTGGGCTTGTTGTCTGCTCTCAAAGGTCATCAGCCCATCTCTGATAACAGTGGTAATTATTATTATTTTTATTATTATTTATTATTTATACCCCGCCCATCTGGCTGGGCTTCCCTAGCCACTCTGGGCGGCTTCCAAAAAAATTAAAATACTGTAGTACATTAAAAACTTCCCTGAACAGGGCTGCCTTCAGATGTCTTCTAAAAGCCTGGTAGTTGTTTTTCTCTTTGACATCTGGTGGGTTAGGGTTAGGGGCGGGTGCCACTACCAAGAAGGCCCTCTGCCTGGTTCCCTGTAACTTGGCTTCTCAGAGTGAGGGAACCGCCAGAAGGCCCTCGGCGCTGGACCTCAGTGTCCGGGGCTGAACGATAGGGGTGGAGACACTCCTTCAGATATACTGGACCGAGGCCGTTTAGGGCTTTAAAGGTCAGCACCAACACTTTGAATTGTGCTCGGAAACGTACTTGGTTTTGGTACCTCGGTTTTCGAACGTTTCGGTTTTCGAACGCCAAAAACCAGAAGAAATAAATGCTTCCGGTGAGTCCCCCCCCCCCCCAATTTTCTCTGTTGAATTTGCAGACCGCCCTTTGCGCCTCAGTTTCCGAACATTTCGGAAGTCGAACGGTCTTCCGGAACAGATTACGTTCAAAAACCGAGGTACCACTGTATAAGACTGCCAGGCTAACAAAACACGGTTTGTTGGAGGGGAAGCAAACAGCAAGGTTCATCATGCTCTCTTCCTTTCTTCCTTTCTTCTCTTTCCTTTTTTAAAAAACTTATTTTATTAAGTTTCAACATACGCAGTCAAAACCCAGTTTCGTCTTTGCTGTTATTTTTGTCAGCTTCTCACCCTGTTTTCCATGGAGTTGTTTTTAATAATTTTTATTAAAGTTTCTGTTTTACAGTTTATTTAAACATCCTTAAAAGATCAGTGACTTCCCTTCCTCTCTTACCATGGTTCATTTTGCATATCATAAATCCCTGCATATTTTAGGTAAACCAAACCATTCAGTATTCCATTACTACATCCATCAAAACTTATTTACACTGTTGAATTTATCTTAAGGCTGCCAACGTTTTCAAGTGTACACGATTCCTTCCCATACATTCAATAAACATTTTCCAATCTTCTCTAAACGTATGTTTTGTTCTATTTCTTTGATGCTGCAACAAAATCTAAAGAGCACATTTCGGTCCCTATTAAAAGGAGGATTGTCCGACTACTTTTCCCCCTGATGTATCTCAACGAGCCATTTATTTTCTCCCGCCTGCCCCATTTATTTTTTTCAGGTTAAGCGTTAACCAGATCACAGACCAAGGAGTCAGAGTGCTTTACGACGAGATGTCCAAGTACAGAATTGTGAGTTATTTGGGGTACGTATGAATGAGGAGCTCGGATAGCTGTCACGTTCAGGGCTGGTCCCGATGACCGAAGGGAGCCTCGTGAACATCGTGTGTTCATGTGCGACTCTGCCTTGCGCCAAATCGCCTTGTCGCTCCCTCATCAGTGTTGGCCCCAGGCGGAAAGACATGAAAGGCGTTTGGATCCAGCTCCCACTCATTTTCCACCGAGTCTTGCAGTTGTCTTTTAAAAAAACAAAAACAAATTTTATTTATGGTTTTCAGGTTTATACATTTCAATAATTTAAATCCTGCCAATGTTCTTATCGGTTTACAATTTGTCCGTAAATATTCCATAAGTTTCTGTACATTCTGGGTCGTCTTGCAGTTGTCAGTGGGTCTTGTTCCCGAATGAGTGGGCACAGTATTGCAGCTGTGCAGTGAAATATTTTTTTCTCTGTCTTATCACACGCTGGCTCCAAGCCAGGTCTAGGTGCAGGTAAAGATGGTGTTAATTTTCCGTGAATTGCACAAGAAGGCAGTGGGTGTTGGCAGACTGGAATAATAGACATTGGCATGTGCATTCCATTCAAAGCCTCTCTAGAATGTGCAACTGATAAGGATCCATATTTTCCCATCCAGCAAGCAAATGCGCATACAGAACAGTACAGAACATGCTTTGCAGAATTGAGGCAACTGGAGCCTTAAAGCAAACTGCAAACCTCCTTCTTGAACTTTTGCACAGTTAATTTACCAGGTTCTCGTACAAAATAAGCAGGTCTCTGACCCTAAATGAGTTGTACTGGGGGGTTTTTTTGTAGGGGGGAGGGAATCAGATCCCACGCATCTAATAACCCTACCCGGTTTGTAGCTGTTAGGTAAAGTAAAGGTAAAGGGACCCCTGACCATTAGGTCCAGTCGTGACCGACTCTGGGGTTGCGGCGCTCATCTCGCTTTATTGGCCGAGGAAACCGGCGTACAGCTTCTGGGTCATGTGGCCAGCATGACTAAGCTGCTTCTGGCGAACCAGAGCAGAAACGCCGTTTACCTTCCCGCCGGAGTGGTACCTATTTATCTACTTGCACTTTGACGTGCTTTCAAACTGCTAGGTTGGCAGGAGCAGGGACTGAGCAACGGGAGCTCACCCCGTCGCGGGGATTCGAACCGCCAACCTTCTGATTGGCAAGTCCTAGGCTCTGTGGTTTAGCTGTTAAAAAGTTACAAATCTAAACACCGGGTCCTTTTTTTATTATTTCCCCCACCGCCCCACAGCTTGTACAACAACCAGATTACCGACGTTGGAGCCAAGTATGTTGCAAGACTGATTGAAGAATGTCCAAGCCTGATATATGTTAAGTATGTATTCCTAACACACACACCCCCTCTACCGTGTTTCTCAGTGCAGCGAAAGCTTGAAAGATACAAGCAGGACTGGAATAACACTTGTAGTTTAATGGTGAATCTTGGAGATAATGGAGATGTAAAAGATTTGGATGATTATAAAAGATGCAGGAGGAAATGGTTAGCAAAAGGACCTGCAAAGGGGAGGAGGGCAGTCCAGGAGATTCCCTGGAATCTTCTTTTTACGTTATATATTGGATATGTGATTGTAAAGCTTGGATTTGAAAACCAAATAAACAATTCAAAAAGAAAAATCAAGCTTGAAAGATAGAGGGAAAGGTCATTTTTCTTAGACGGAGTGAAGCTTCTGCATGGATAGCTATTATTATTATTATTATTATTATTATGCATTTAGGACATTTGTACCCTGTTGTTCAGCCAAAAAAGGCTTCCAGGGCAGCTTACATGCAGTCAAAACAAGACAGTGCCTCCCCACAAGCTTACAATCTAAAAAGACACGACACACAAGGGAAAGGGGACACGGAGGGAAGAGGAAAATAAAAATCAAACCTCAGACACCGGTTTCTAAACAGTTGTTCCCATAACAACCAGCTGGCAGAGCTCAGGGGTAGGAGCTCGCCTCTCGCAGCATAGAAAGAGTTCTGCTTCTCTGCTTCTGAGTGATCTCTCTCTCTCTGTCATAGGCAGTTGTCCGTGTGAATAGGGTTAATGGTAACTTTAGTAAATTTAAGTCGTAAATTTAACTGTCAATTTGATTCCCTCCTCCTCTTTCTTTTTTCCTTTCTCCTCCTGTGATGAGGCTGCATTTTAATGTTTCAATGTTTTAATGTTATATTTTAATCTTGTTTTTAAGTTGTATTCATTCAACTTGTTTTTATTATTGCTTGTTAGCCGCCCTGAGCCCGGCCTTGGCTGGGGAGGGCGGGGTATAAATAATATTATTATTATTATTATTATTATTATTATTATTTAGCCAATTTTAATCAGATCTTCATTTTAATTGGCTGACAGTTAAGGACACACTACATAAAGCTGATTGTGAGGCTGGTGCATAGGAGTGAAAGAGAATGAAAAATAAAATATTGAAGATGGCCTTTTAAGAGTACACGGTAGCTTATAATTATTATTATTATTATTATTATTATTATTATTATTATTATATTTTATTTTGACAAAGTAATAATCATACATAAATAAGAAAAAAAATGTGCACCCCACCACCAAGACCATTCCATTGTAACTATCCAGCCTCCCCAAATTTCAACACCTCTTGCGATGGTTTGACCCCTTTCCGTTTAAACAGTACAAATTCTACAAACACACCTTCCGTATCTCCTCAAAACCATTTCTCCTGCATGTTTCCCGTCTTACCTTAAATTAACTCACATTTTCTTTAGAGTATCTCTAGCCCTGTGGAGGTTTTAAAATATGCACACTTATTTAAATATGAGGATCCCAAAGGCAGATAATTGGGCAACCAAAAATTCTTTAATCCGCTTATTATGTTGTTTCATAAAGCATTCAGCGAAGTATCCCTTTGTTGGAACCGATTCATTAATACCTGTTCCAACGAGAGACATTCCGGTTACAAAACAGCAAACACAAGTGAATCTGATTTTCTTTCTAGAAGTGAAGAAAGAAACCACTAGCTAAAATGGCACTGAAGGAATTCCATGGCATTGTTGACTTGATTTCTGGCAAAACAAAAAACAAAAACCTACCCACATGGTATTTCTTTGCAGAATAGGAGCAAACAGAATAACCACAGAGGGAGGGAAATGTCTCGCTGATGCCATCCGGAAGAGTAAAACAATGTATGAAATTGGGTAAGTTGGATCACTTTTGTTCTTGGTTTTTAATAATTGGGGTACCCTGCCACAAAGGATCTTGGACACTGAGTGACAGTTTGACGAGCCTAGGACTTGCCGATCAGAAGGTCGGCGGTTCGAATCCCCGTGACGGGGTGAGCTCCTGTTGCTCAGTCCCTGCTCCTGCCAACCTAGCAGTTCGAAAGCACGTCAAAGTGCAAGTAGATAAATAGGTACCACTCTGGTGGGAAGGTAAACGGCGTTTCCGTGCACTGCTCTGGTTCGCCAGAAGTGGCTTAGTCATGCTGGCCACATGACCCGGAAGCCAATAAAGTGAGATGAGCGCCGCAACCCCAGAGTCGGCCACGACTGGACCTAATGGTCGGGATTCCTTTACCTTTTAATGCGAGTTTAATTTATTCAGTTTATTTATTATTTATTGAATTTATATACCGCCCTATACCCGGGGGTCTCAGGGCAGTTCACAGAATAAAATCAAGAGATAAAACCACAGAATACTTAATAAAACAACAACTCAATAGTTCCCCCCCCCCCACAAAACCCCACATTTTAAAAGGGCGACTGAGCTAACCTGTCCTGAGACCTACTGGTGAATGATAGTAATAGTAATAATCAGTGCTTATTTTCTGGGGGGATGCAGGGGTACACATACCCCTAAACGTTTTGTGAATCTTTGTCTATTTACTGTATTTATTTTTCCCAGTTTGAACTATAAAATGGTGATTTGTTTCTTGAGTCAAAATGAGAGTCTCCCTTAAAAATAAAAAAAAATAAAAAACCACTGGTAATAATAATAATAATAATATGCCCCATCTCTTTCTTTTTGATAGGATGTGGGGTAATCAGGTTGGAGACGAAGGCGCCAAAGCCTTTGCAGAAGCACTGCAGAATCACCCCTCTATAACAAACGTCAGGTAAGACCATATGTGAGCAGGGAACAACGGCTTAGACTCTTCAGACGACCTATATCATGAAGGATTATCCTCATGTCAGAAGAGCAAGCACCCCACATTTCAGAACAATGGGGCACCTTAGAACTGTTAAATGGGGCTGGTGAGGCTGGAGTCAACTATCCAGCATCCTGGGATAGGTCCCGGGGCCTGAGCCCCACAACTGATACCCGCCCTCAGGTGACTGGACTCGGCCATCCTTTTAATTTCCCACAATGCCTCACAGGGACAGAGGCACTGTGGGAAATTCAAAGGGTGGCCAGACTCTAGGCCCTGGGTAGGCAAACTATGGCCCAGGGGCCAGATCCGGCCCAATCGCCTTCTAAATCCGGCCCACAGACAGTCCAGGAATCAGTGTGTTTTTACATGAGTAGAATGTGCCCTTTTATTTAAAATGCATCTCTGGGTTATTTGTGGGGCATAGGAATTCGTTCATTTTTTCCCCTTCAAAATATAGTCTGGCCCCCCACAAGGTCTGAGGGACAGTGGACTGGCCCCCTGCTGAAAAAGTTTGCTGACTCCCGTTCTAAGCCTAGGTAAATGGAGTCGGTTGTTGTCAGGATCTGTCTTGGGCAGCAACTGAGTTATCTTCCGAGTCTGTTGTTGTTGAGCAATACCAATAGATTGTTGGCAGAGAACCGGGGAGCCTAATTTAGAGCAAAGACCTTTTAAAAAATCAAAGATGATTGATGTCTTAAATGGTGGCGTTACAGTACCAAAACAGCATTGTCAGTCCATATTTGGCTGTAAAAAGCATTAAAAAATAAAATTGGCGTTGGCAGCTGCTCAAAATTCAGAGAGACGCTTTTAAAACACAATTTTCCTTAAGGGAAAAAGCAAAAGCTTGTCAATCACTTTTCTTTCATCTAACAAACAAACCTTGCTGATTCTCTGCTAAGGAGAATGGCCGTTTTCCTTCTCCCACAAGATGGCAGACTTCATCAAGTGAAAATCTCAAAAGTCTGTTTAGTTGGATGAGAAGAGAGGGCCAGTTTTTTGAGAGTACTCCACCTGCACACAAACGTGTGAATACAAAACAACAACAGCACAGATTTATGCAAAAATAAAATATCATACAAGGAAGCCATAATTATTTCTGGTACTTTCTGGAAGTACAAACCATGGCAGACCCATGTCTCCCCATGCTGAATGTGTGAAACAGCTGAGAACCAGAGAAAATGTTGAGTCTTTTGTGTTTGGAAATCTCTGTTGAACTCACCAGTGATCCCTGCTGGCTAGTTTTGGTCAAAAGTCCCTCTCTGTCTGCCTTGCCTTCTTTGCAATGGTGTTGGAAAGCTCTGATCTCTTTGAGGAGAAGGCAGCTGCAGGGAACGAATGAATGAATGTTGATGGTGGTTGTAATGAGTATGAGTTACTCGTGCGTAAACTGGTGCCGCTCTAGGCTAATTTGCCTTGTTAAACCTTTTTGACTGCACAGCCCTTTCTCATCGTGGCTGCCTCAGTCGCTGGCAGAATCCGTCAGTGGGCGTTTCTTGAACTTCTTCCAACATAAAAGTTGTTTGACACCCAGTCTCCTCCTCCTCTCACTGCGCGGGAGTCTTCTGCGCAGGGAGGGCGTGGGTAGCGGAGAACCTGTGCCCTCCTCACTGAGGTCCAGTAAAGAGTCCTGGAGCCCTCTCTCCGATTCCCCCATCTGCCCCCCTTTATCCCTGGTGTTGCGCTGATTTGCTTCCCCCTCTACTGAGCTGTTTCTCCCCCTGCTGCTGGGTCCTTCGCCAGCATCATCTAGGAGCCTCCCCTTCGCCTCTCGCTCTGATGTCAGTTCCCTGACAGTGGTGATGATGATGATGATGATAATAATAATAATAATAATAAATAAATAAATAAATACACAGCGAAAGCTTAAAATCCAAGGCATTGCACAGTTGAAGTGTCCAATGTTGAATTAGAAGCCAATTGGGGGGGGGAGTTTTCAAAAGCTTAAAATCTAAGGCTTTGCACCGTCAAAACATCCAGCGTTGAATTAGAAGCCAGGTGGAATAAAAATGTTTTCAAAAGCTTAAAATCCAAGGCTTTGTGCAGGTGAATGTCCAGCGTTGAATTAGAAGCCAGATGGAATAAAAACATTTTCACTGCCTGCCTGAGAAAACTCAGCGATAATGGTGCTCATCTAAGCTCTTTTGGGAGGGAATCCATAACTAGGGGGCTGTCACCGAAAAGGTCCTTTCCGGTTGTCCACACTCTGCAGTAACACATTACCTGATTGGCTCCTTGCTTGTCTGTACAGGCAGCAGCCATTGGAGGCTCAGTGAGGGCAGCCGACCTAGCTAGCACCCCAGTTCTGAGCTTGCTTTGTGAAACCTCCCCAGAAACCTCATTTGGTTGCACCTAAGGGACCTGGTGGGAAGCACTGTCTTCTTCCAAGCCAGGCTTCAGCAGAGCGAGTGTAAGAGTGGCCTTGCGGGATTGCACTCAGGGAATCCACCTGCGTCGGACCCAGGGCCTTACGTGAGTGGCCTCAGGTGCAAGAGTCGTAAAACAGGAATACCCCTCTCCATGCCACCTCGCAAACTCCATTTTGAAACGGAGAAGCGTGAAAAGCCATTTCTTGAAGTGGCATTGCTCCCCAAAGACCAAAAATGCTTACAGGTCTCACTAGGAGACGGTTACAGCACGGATTCTGCAAGCCTCAATTCCTTCCTCACTTCCATTTAAGACACGCATTTGAGGAGGAAACTCACAGGTGAATCTGTTCTCTTGTATATGTGGGTTCTCCTGCTTCCAAGCTCGACTTTTTGGTTGCCACTGCAAGCCCAACCTGCCTCCTACCCTTCCATTTTGCTGTCTCTATGGGGCATCATTTATCCGCCTGATGAGGTACAGTCGTACCTTGGTTCTCCAACAGAATGCGCTCCAGGAGTCCATTCGACTCCCGAAACAGCTCAAAAACCAAGGCGCGGCTTCCGATTGGCTGCAGGGGCTTCCTGCACTCAGCCGGAAGCTGCGCCGGATGTTCGGCTTCCGAAAACCGTTTGAAAACCGGAACACTCACTTCTGGTTTTCGATCGTTTGGGAGCCGAAATGTACGAGTTCCAAGGTGTACAGCAACCAAAGTACAGCTGTACTAGTTGTTCACATTGCAGGCTTTGAGCGAGAGAGACGAATCTCCTTGTTTTGGGGCACTTCGAACACCCAAGACACCTTGAGCTGAAGAAGAAGAAGAAGAAGAAGAAGAAGAAGAAGAAGAAGAAGAAGAATCATGGACTAGCAATGCGCTCTATGTGGGGCTACCTTTGAAGGTGACCCGGAAACTACAACTAATCCAGAATGTGGCAGCTAGACTGGTGACTGGGGGCGGCCGCCAAGACCACATAGCACCGCTCTTGAAAGATCTACATTGGTTCCCAGTACGTTTCCGAGCACAATTCAAAGTGTTAGTGCTGACCTTTAAAGCCCTAAACGGTCTCGGCCCAGTAGACCTGAAGGAGCGTCTCCACCCCCATCGTTCTGCCCAGACACTGAGGTCCAGCGCCGAGGGCCTTCTGGCGGTTCCCTCATTGCGAGAAGCAAAGCTACAGGGAACCAGGCAGAGGGCCTTCTCGGTAGTGGCGCCCACCCTGTGGAACGCCCTCCCATCAGATGTCAAAGCGATAAACAACTACCTGACATTCAGAAGACATCTCTGTTCAGGGAAGTTTTTAACGTGTGATATTTTAGTGTATTTTTAGTCTCTGTGGAAGCCCCCCAGAGTGGCTGGGGAAACCCAGCCAGATGGGCGGGGTACAAATAATAAATTATCATTATTACTATTATTATTATTATTATCATCATCATCATCAAAGTGGAAGTTTTCTGCCTGTTTTGGAAGGATCTTAACAGTGTTGATACCTCTGGGAATAACGTCGACGGATCTACATTTGAAGAGGAGGGGCAGGAGAAGAGAGAGCCAGGGAGGTTGGCATGCAGAGAGCTCCCCAAAGCTTGCTTGAGCCCAAAATGATTTTCCCTCCCTCTCCGCTCTTTGAACACCAGCAGCCCTTCGTGCCACGGCACAAACGGCTGTTGAAACGCCCACTCACCAGATACAGGTGCTAGGGAAAAAATTGTGAGAAATCTAAGACCGGGGCGGGGGGCGCTCTGAGACGTGTGGAAATAGCTGCTCTGCTTTTTGGATCCTGACCAAAACGAACAGCTTTTCTAATCGGCTTCATTATCTAGAGTTGTCACTCAAAAACGGTTCAAATTTTACTCGGAAGAATTTCCGAACCCAATTATCGCAGGGTGGGGCTTTCCTTGCCTGCAAACATTTCCTCCGTTGGCAGAGCAAGGCCGTTGGGCTGCACGGAAACGTTCTCTAGTTATGTGACCGTTAATACTTAGTTTCAGGAAGAAAGTCTTTGGGGCAGATATCTAGGCATTGCAAATGTGGTTTGTTTGTGTGTGTGTGTGTTCATTCTCTTCTTCTTCACTTTCTCTGCATTTTCCTTATTGCTAATCTCCAAGTGGTTTCTCATTGACTTCAAAATGCATACCCTCCAACATTTCTCCGATGAAAATAGGGACGTCCTCTTCAAATTAATAAGTTGCCCCACCAACTCTGGGCGGTTTCCAACATACACAAAAACATAATGAACGTTAAAAGCCTTTTTTTAAAAAAACCTTCCCTATACAGTGGCACCTTGGGTTACATAACGCTTCAGGTTACATACGCTTCAGGTTACAGACTCCGCTAACCCAGAAATATTACCTCGGGTTAAGAACTTTGCTTCAGGATGAGAACAGAAATCGTGCTCCGGCGGCAGCGGGAGGCCCCATTAGCTAAAGTGGTGCTTCAGGTTAAGAACAGTTTCAGGTTAAGAACGGACCTCCGGAATGAATGAAGTACTTAAGCTGAGGTACCACTGTACAGGGCTGCCTTCAGATGGCTTGGGGGGGCGGATAACTCCATACCCTCCAACATTTCTCCAATGAAAATAGGGACGTCCTAAGGAAAAGCGGGACATTCCAGGATCAAATCAGAAACTGGGGCGACTGTCCCTGGGAATTAAGGGCACTCGGTGGGTCTGACATAGGCTACGTTAGTCCTACTGTGGTTGGGGGGAGTGCTGAGAGGGTCCTTGGCCCCAATGTCCTCCCCTTATGACACTGCTGTATGAAACAGAAGGAAGAAGGATCCTATGCACTATATCTGTGGCACGTCCATGTGAATCATTGTTTGTATACTGTTCGGTTCCGCAAAGCCTCGTCCCGGTGCAAGGCTGTCGAAAGGAAACATTTGCCCCTGTTTTGTGTGCATCTTTTAAATATTTCCCCTTCTGTCTTTTGTTTCGCAGTCTTGCGTTTAACGGCATCACCACTGAAGGGGGGAAAAGCATCGCAGAAGCCATGAAGCACAACAGCACCGTGAATATATTTTGGTAAGGATCCGCTTGTTGGCAGATTCTGGGAAAGGGGGGCTCGCCTCTCCTTGCAAGGAGAGGGGACATGGATTTTACATGGCAGGTGCACCTCTCACAGTCCGTACCAGATTCCCGAGTAGGCCTAGGTTGGAGTGGCAGATTTCTGTGCAAGCTACATGAAGGAACTGGAAGGATCACTTTGAGCACAGAAGAGGCCAAGGGATGCAGTGAGGAGAACAAATAAACCACAGCAGGAAACTCTTCAGATTTTGTTTAGGGCATTTTTACCCTATCACATGAGACCAATAGCGGCCCCTCCCCTCCAGGCTGACAATCGAAAACACGACACAAAAGGAAAGAGGTTTGAGGAGGGAAGAGGAAAACAAGCAAACCCTTAGAAAGTTACATCCAGGCTGAAGCACAAGGTGGCGCTCCAGCCGTGGTCGGGGGCAACTCCTCTTTATCACTGGCCACGCCGACAGGGGGCTGTTGGGTGTCGGAGTCGAACGACACCCAGAGGACCACATGTTCTCCACCCCCGAGTTATGACGTAGCTCTTACGATGACCAGCTGGGACGGAAACCGCTGTTTCCCCTATCTCCCTCTGCTGCAGCCGGATAGGTTGAGTTTTGCATTCGGAGATCACCTCCCTTTTCCTTGTAGCATGAGCCGTGGGTCCTGTTGGAAGGGATGTGTTTTTTCACAGCAAGACATCCAAGCTAATGTGCCCCAGCCAGGAAGTGGCAGTGATCCAATAGCTTCGTACTTGTGAAATACAAAAGCCAGTATCTCCTCCCAATGCCATGTTGCTGAGCTCTGAAGGGCCTGAGAATCTGACCAAATATGATTGATTGATTGATTGATTGATTGACTGATTGATTGATTGATTGATTGACTGATTGATTGATTGAATTTATATACCGCCCTATACCCGGAGGTCTCAGGGCGGCTCACAGAATAAAATCAAGATATAAAACCACAAAATACAGTGGAACCTCGGTTGTCAAACGTAATCCGTTCCAGAAGACCATTCAACTTCCGAAACGTTCGACAACCGAGGTGTAATTGCTGGTCGGCAAAATCCAGTGAAAAAATGGAGAAACGCACCTCAGAAGCTGTTTGACTTCTGAGGCGCGTTCAGAAACGGAAGCATTCACTTCCAGGTTATGGTGTTCAAAAGCCAAAACATTTGACTTCTGAAGCGTTTGACAACCGAGGTTCCACTGTACATAATGAAAATGAAAACAACAACCCAATAGCCCCCCCCCCACAAACCCCCCACATTTTAAAATGGCATAGGATGTCAATCAGATCAACCAAAGGCCTGGTTAAAAAGGAACGTTTTTGCCTGGCGCCTAAAGGTATATAATGAAGGCACTAGGCAAACTTCCCTGGGGAGACCATTCCACAGATGGGGAGCCACTGCAGAGAAGACCCTGTTCTCGTGTTGCCACCCTCCGGACCTCTCAAGGACGAGGCACATGAAGAAGGGCCTCAGAAGGTGATTTCAGGGTCCGGATAGGTTCATATGGAAAGAGGCGGTCCTTGAGGTATTGCGGTCCTGAGCCGTGGTGTGTGTGTGTGTGTGTGGTTTTTAACCCACCATGGTTTTCTTAGCATTTCAGTGTGTTCCGAGTAGTTTTGGGAGAGTAATTCTCCACCCCAACCTCCACATTCATATGGTTTCAGTTCTTGGTTCCATGTCCTCCTTAAGAGCACTTCCGCAGTGGCAGCCATTGGCTTCTGAACGTCTTTGCCGTCGCTTCTGCCTTCTGCTGATAAGACCCTGTGGGGTTGTTCTAGCAGCCCAAGAATGTCTGAGCTAGCAAGAACCAGCGTCAGAGCTGAGACCACATCCAACCCCAGGAAGCAGCAGCGAGTTTTTAAAAAGAAAACACTTTTAAGTATCCCCGCTATTAAAAGCAGCCGATTAAGTTGACTAAAACTGATGATTAAATGAATCCAAAATGAACTCGGGAGCGTACAGTGAGAGAGGTACCGTATTTTTCGCTCTATAAGACACACTTTCCCCCCTCTAAAAATTAAGGGGAAATGTGTGTGCGTCTTATGGAGCGAATGCAGGCTCCATGGCTTCAGCAATAGCAACGCGAAGCCTCCGAAGCGCAGTGGGAGCGCTCCTGCCACGCTCCGGAGGCTTCGTGTTGCTTTTGCTGAAGCCTGGAGAGGGAGAGGGGTCGGTGCGCACAGATCCCTCTTGCTCTCCTGGCTTCGCTTCGCTGGAGAGGTGCTGCGTAGCTTTCCCTCTCCGCTCAGCACCCCTTCAGCGAAGCGGGAGGAGAAATGGAAGGGGCTTTGTTTCTCCTGCCGCTTCGTTGAAGGGGCGCTGCGCAGAGAGGGAGAGAATATTTTTTTCTTGTTCTCCCTCTAAAACTAGGTGCGTCCTATGGTTGGGTGCATCCTATAGAGCGAAAAACACGGTGAATGTGGAAAGGGATGGAAGGCTAGAGAGAAACAGTGCTGGAGGGGTGTATAGCTAGATTTTTAAACCCTAAATTACAGATCCCTGGAGGAAAGAGGGATCTTCAGTGGAGAGCAAGAGACATTTCCTCCTCCCAAACCGAGTTATCCAGGTAGATGAGTCTTTATCCCATTGTGTTAACATACAGGGCAGACCAATGGAGCTTTTGTAGCACTTCTTTTTTATTTGTTATTCCACTCTTCATTTAAAAGAAATCCCAGCACAGATGACAGCAAACATCAGCAAGCAGCGAACGATCTAGCATTAGCCAGGTGCGTTCGCACGGCCTTTTGTGGCACTCCTGTAAGACACCCCGTAATTATTGTAAGGAATATCTTGCGACTCATTTGTGCCCCAGACATTCTCCCTCCTGCGCCTTTGAACCGGTTTTGAAGCAGGGACATTAAACACTCCACCTGACGCACTGGAAAGCCAAGCCGTCTTTTGTTCCACCATCGTTCTCACAATGCCTGGCTGATCACAACCACTGCATTTCTGGGGACAATAAATTATTGTGCTTTTGGAACAGCCAGTCCCGGCGTTGACGGTAAAAGGGAGGCAACTTTGGATCATGTCCCAAGTGGTGCCTGGGATCTGATGCAAGACAGCAGCAGCAGCAGCAGAAGAAGAAGAAGAAGAAGAAGAAGAAGAGTTTGGATTTGATATCCCGCTTTATCACTACCCTTAGGAGTCTCAAAACGGCTAACAATCTCCTTTCCCTTCCTCCCCCACAACAAACACTCTGTGAGGTGAGTGGGGTTGAGAGACTTCAGAGAAGTGTGACTAGCCCAAGGTCACCCAGCAGCTGCATGTGGAGGAGCGGAGACGCGAACCCGGTTCACCAGATTACGAGACTACCGCTCTTAACCACTACACCACACTGGCAGGCCGTGACTCTGTCGATGGCTTGAACCGTGAAGAGCTTGGGTTGAAGGAACAGCACCAGAGCGTCCTTTGTCCTAGGCTGCATTGCCCTGAAGAGAGAGCCTGGGGAACCTATGGGCAGCCATGATCCTAGCTCCACAAACAAGGAAGAGAGGCAGACTCTTGGAAGTGTAGCTGCTCAGAGATAGCATCCTTTGGGGAACATGGATTGGAAGGACAAGAAACAGGACCTGCTAGAACGTACCCTCCGAGCAGACTTGACTAGATGACTCTTGGGGTCCCTTCGGACTCTACAATTCTACTTGTGTTGATAATTCATCAAGGGATCGATATAATGGGTGAACCGAGCAATAGATATAGGACATAATATAGATTTTAATCTCGGGGGGGGGGGGACTTTGGAAGAGTGATCTGAAGTTTACAGCTTCAAGGAATGAGAACTACCTGAAAATGATAAATGATATTTAACTCCAAGATGGGACGCGGGTGGCGCTGTGGGTTAAACCACAGAGCCTAGGACTTGCCGATCAGAAGGTTGGCGGTTCGAATCCCTGCGACGGGGTGAGCTCCCGTTGCTCAGTCCCTGCTCCTGCCAACCTAGCAGTTCGAAAGCACGTCAAAGTGCAAGTAGATAAATAGGTACCGCTCCGGCGGGAAGGTAAACGGCGTTTCCGTGCGCTGCTCTGGTTTGCCAGAAGCAGCTTAGTTATTCTGGCCACATGACCCGGAAGCTGTATGCCGGCTCCCTCGGCCAATAAAGCGAGATGAGCGCCGCAACCCCAGAGTCGGCCACAACTGGACCTAATGGTCAGGGGTACCTTTACCTTTACCTAGACTTGCTAAGATGTATAAGACTGAATTGGATAAGTGCTGGAGATGCAATGAGACTGAGGGTACGTGGTGGACTTGTAAAAGGGTAAAAGAGTATTGGGAAATAATTTATAATGAATTGAAAAAAAAATGTTTAAAAGTACTTTTTAAAAAAAAAACCCAGAATCTTTGTCGTTGGGGATAATTCAGATGGAAATTCCCAGGTGTCAAAAAAGGTTATTTATGTATGCCACTACAGCGGTCCGTGTTTTGTTAGCCCAAAAATGGAAAACAAGCAAAATCCCAACTAAAGAAGAATGGCAACTTAAACTGATGGAATATGTGCAGCTTGTGGACTTAACATATAGAATAAGAGAACAAGAAGAACATACGTTCAAAGAAGATTGGAAAACGTTTATTGAATATATGGGGGGGAATTGTATATATTTGAAAACGTGGGCAGCATTCAGATAAATTCAACAGTGTCAATAAGTTTTGATGGATGTAATAATGGAATACTCAATGGTTTAGTTTATCTAAAATATGCAGGGATTTATGTTATGCAAAATGAACCATGGAAAGAAGAGAAGGGAAGTCATTGATATTTTACGGTGGCTTATGAATGAATATTCTAAAATGTAAAATAGAAAATTGGATAAAAATTATGGAAAAAGAAACAGGACCTGCAACAAAGTGTTGCAGTTTATTCCCACATCCCAAGAGGAGTGCTTCTGTTGTGCCAGCCAGCCCTCTTGCAGGCTGTGTCATTCCATCTCCCCTCAGTTTTTTTTCCATTTCTAGCTAAAGCTCAACATTCTGTCGCTTCTGGGCATGCGTGACCCTCTGTTCTTGTCATTCCCTTGGGTTGGTTGGTTCATTTTTAGGGCTCTCCCAGAATATTGGGACCTAGAAGAACTGCTCCCAGAAGTGCAAGCTGGATTTAGAAGAGGCAGAGGAACCAGAGACCAAATTGCAAACATGCCCTGGATTATGGAGAAAGCTAGAGAGTTCCAGAAAGACATCTACTTCTGCTTCATTGCATAGTTATGGTTTTCCCAGTAGTGATTTATGGAAGTGAGTGCTGGACCATAAAGAAGGCTGATCACCAAAGAATTGATGCTTTTGAATTATGGTGCTGGAGGAGACTCTTGAGAGTCCCATGGACTGCAAGAAGATCAAACCTCTCCATTCTGAAGGAAATCAGTCCTGAGTGCTCACTGGAAGGACAGATCCTGAAGCTGAGGCTCCAATACTTTGCCCACCTCATGAGAAGAGAAGACTCCCTGGAAAAGACTCTGTTGGGAAAGATGGAGGGCACAAGGAGAAGGGGACGACAGAGGACAAGATGGTTGGACAGTGTTCTTGAAGCTACCAGCATGAGTTTGACCAAACTGCGGGAGGCAGTGGAAGACAGAAGTGCCTGGCGTGCTCTGGTCCATGGGGTCACGAGGAGTCGGACACGACTAAACGACTAAACAACAACAACAAAGAAGAACTGCCTTGTGCTGAATCAAAGCCATTGGTCCATCCAGTTCAGTATTACCTACACTGACTGACAGCATCTCTGCAGGGTTTCAGGCAGGGACTTCTCCCAGCCCAACTGGAGATGCTGGGATTTGAACCCAGGACCTTTTGCATGCAAATCAAGTGCTTCATCCACCCCTATACCACATAATACATCACAACCGCTCTTGTTTCTCAGCAGCTCCTCTGTCTTCATTTCTGTCAGTACTCACTGCCTGTTGTTAGAGAGCTCGTTTCTTCATTTCCCAGGGAGATTCGATTGGTGCCTTCATTATACGCCTTTAGGCGCCAGGCAAAAAACGTTTCTCTTTAACCAGGCCTTTAGGGCTGATTGACATACAATGCCCTTTAAAAATGTGTCAGGGAGGAGATTTTGGGGTTATTCTTGTTTTTATTTTTATTATGTACCATATTTTTTGCTCTATAAGACTCACTTTTTCCCTCCTAAAAAGTAAGGGGAAATGTGTGTGCGTCTTTTGGAGCGAATGCAGGCTGCGCAGCTATCCCAGAAGCCAGAACAGCAAGAGGGATTGCTGCTTTCGCTGCGCAGCGATTCCTCTTGCTGTTCTGGCTTCTGGGATTCAGAATATATTTTTGTTGTTGTTTTCCTCCTCCAAAAACTAGGTGCGTCTTGTGGAGCGAAAAATATGCTATTTTGCGTTTTTAATATTGTTATTTTTATCCGTGAACTACCCTGAGACATGTGGATAAATTATTTTTATTTAAATAATTTTTATTTGGCTTTACAAGTATAAGAGTATAACAATACAAAGTACATATCTATATTTAGAGATTCCTCTGAATCTCTGGACTTCCCACCTTCCTCCTCCATGGGTCCTATTGTCAATGTTTTCAACTGCATATTATTCAGTAATCCATATTTTATGTCACTCCATTGTCTCCTTAGTACTTGCTACATTACAAGTGCTCTTGCAATCCTGCTAATGTTTTCATCTGCTTACAGTGGTCTCCCAGATAAGTTATAAATGTTTCCCATTCTTTAGTAAAAGTTTTGGTCTTCTTGGTTCCTGAGCTTTCCAGTCAGTTTTGCCACTTCAGCATAGTTCAACAGCTTAGTTTGCCATTCTTCTCTGATAGGGACTTCGTCTTCTTTCCATCTTTGGGCTGGTAGCATACGTGCGACTGTCATCGCATACATGAAAAGTCTTTTGCTCCTTTGGAATATCGGTACCTACAATTCGTAATAGAAAAGCTTCTAGGCTGGTTTGTTTTTTTAAAAAAAAGTTATTTTAAACTTTTTTTTCAATCCATTATACTGTATAAGGGCAGCATAAAATTTTAATTAATTGATTAACTAACTAATAATTTGCAGCTAGCAACAAGCCTCCTGAGCTTGTTAAAATGCTTTGTGGACAACCTGAGTATTTGTAGCTTCGGTATATATGCTCCACTTTCCCCGTTCTAACCCCAAAAGAAGGGGAGAGCCGTACGTAGCAGCTTACAAAAGAAAATAAAAGACTAACTTAAAAAGGGCAATTATTCTCCATTAACCCAGCCTGGCGCTGCTTGGTCAAGCGTTGAGCTATAAATGCCTTTAATCTCTATGGAGAGAAGGTGGAAGACCAGTTTTGGTGTGGTCCTAATGGCTAAACCTATTTTCCTGTCCTCGCTAGGAGTTTTCCAAGCTGCCCTCCTCTCCACCAGCCATTCCCATGAATGCTTTCCATGGCAGCATTTTTATTTTTATTTTTAAAAAGCAAAACCAGAAACCCTTCCTTGATCACATGGAAATGCCTTAGGCATGTGGGGGTGAGTGGGTCTCCATCTCACTTGCATTAAAAAAAACAACCCTTCCTTTTTCAAACGAATACTGAAATCTTAGCAAAGTGTAAGTTTGCTTGAACGCAATGACGCCCACAATGGCTGTACTGTCAATCACTTGGCAGACCTTTTAGACATGTGCATCTAGCCGAAGAGTTTCCATTTCATTCCTGGCCAGCCAGGATCTTTAATAAAATTGCACCTATGCTGGCAGAGAAGAAATTCCTTTTTTTTCCCCAAACCATAGGACGGCCATACACTCTTGGGACTGAAAAAAGGAGGTTCTTTTTACCATATGTAGTGGTCTTGTAGTAAGGTTAAAGCTTACTGGGAAATGATATATAACGAAATGAAAAGGATGTTTAAAATAACCTTTGTGAAAAAAACACCCCAGAAGCTTTTCTTTTGGGAATTATAGGGACAGAACTACCTAAACTACAGTGGTACCTCAGGTTAAGTACTTAATTCGTTCCGGAGGTCCGTTCTTAACCTGAAACTGTTCTTAACCTGAAGCACCACTTTAGCTAATGGGGCCTCCAGCTGCCGCTGCGCTGCCGGAGCATGATTTCTGTTCTCATCCTGAAGCAAAGTTCTTAACCTGAAGCACTATTTCTGGGTTAGCGGAGTCTGTAACCTGAAGCGTATGCAACCTGAAGCGTATGTATCCCAAGGTACCACTGTATATAGAAACATAGTCCTGTATGCGACTACAGTGGCCAGAATATTACTTGCTCCAAAATGGAAAGAAGCAGAAGTCCTATCAAAGGAGGACTTGATACAAAAACTTATGGAATATGCAGAAATGGCAAAACCTACCAGAAGAATAAGAAATCAAGATAACAAACTTTTTATAAAAGAATGGCAATGGTTTATGGAAAATTTACAGATAAATTTCAAAGAGATAAAAACACTGGCAGGATAATTCTAATAACTTGCAGTTTCATAAGAGTATATATTTAAAGAAGATGAATAAATGAGCACATTAAGTTAATTTGGACATGCAGAAGATATTAAAAAATAAATTGAAGGAACCGCAGAAAGAGGGGGAAGGAAGTCAACTTTTGAAATGTCAAAATGATTGTAAAATTAGTTAAATATATACACTTGAAAAGTAGATAAAAAAATTTTTTTAAGAAAAAAAGAAAAGAAAAATCCTGTTTGCTTCTCTCACCAGGCTAACAAAGAATGAGCTGGATGACGAAGCAGCCGAATGCTTTGCTGAAATGGTAAAGGTCAACAAGCGATTGGGTCATCTATGGTGAGTTGTCTTGGCTCACGGAGAAGGCACTCTTGAGTCACTGCCTCAGGCTACGAGTCACATTTCAGTCACTGTACATTTTCTATACAAGGACCCAACCCTGAGCTTTGGGCTCCTTTTGACAGAAAGGTCACCGGAAGCCCTTAATTTGCATCGAGGCATCAGATTCATGCTGATCTAAAGTTGGAGTGCCTCATTCTTCACAATTCCCGGAAGGAGTTGCTGAACCAGTGACTAGGAGAGGAACCAGTTGAACTTTTGAAGGATTCCTATGCAGATGACACGTATAAAAATGTGGCAAACCGTCAAAACGTTAAAAACTTCCCAATAGAGGGCTGCCTTCAGATGTCTTCTAAAAGTTGTGTGGTTCTTTATCTCCTTGACATCTGATGGGAGGGCGTTCCACCGGGTGGCCGCCACCACTGAGAAGGCCCTTTGCCTGGTTCCCTGTAACCTCACTTCTCGCAGGGAAGGAACCGCCAGAAGGCCCTCGGCGCTGGACCTCAGTGTCTGGGCAGAACGATGGGGGTGGAGACACGCCTTCAGGTATACTGGACCGAGGCCGTTTAGGGCTTTAAAGGTCAGCTCCAACACTTTGAATTGTGCTTGGAAATGTACTAAGAGCCAATGTAGGTCTTTCAGGTCCAGTGTTATATGGTCTCAGCAGCCACTCTCTGTCACCAGTCTAGCTGCTGCATTCTGGATTAGTTGCAGTTTCTGGGTCACCTTCAAAGGTAGCCCCACATAGAGCGTATTGCAGTAATCAAGCGGGAGATAACGAGAGCATTCACCACTCTGGCGAGATAGTCTGCAGGCAGGTAGGGTCTCAGTCGGCGTAGCAGATGGAGCTGGTAGACAGCTGCCCTGGTCACAGATGTCCCATGTACACAGTGTTTAGTTTAATCACCACCATCAAAGCACTAGCAAAATGTAAGGCTTGGTTTTCGTTTGTTTAGGGATCTACCCCATTGTCAGTAACGCTTACATTTCCTTTTGTCCGTGTGTTGTGTTTTTCCATAACAAATTACCCTTGAGTGACTAATGCTAAAGAAATAAATGTCTTGAAGCTTTTTTAAAAAAATAAAAAATAAATAAATTGCAGTGTTCTGGGCAAAGGAAAACAGGAGAAATTGAACTCCAAGGTGACTTTACATATTTTTGATGGTTGGCCCCTCTGAGCCAGTCTCTTCCTGCCTCCTCTCTTGCAGTGCCAGCCCAAAGTGGCCAGTGAATTGCCTTCCCCGGCCGTCGCTTTGGATCCATCATGAATAATCCCCCAGACAGCTGCTCTCCTGTGATCAGAGAGCAGCTGTGTGGTCAATTATACAATTAAGCTCAGTAACCCTGAAAGACGCCCATGCACTTTAGACTGAAGAGGCTTGGAGCCTCTTGGCTGCGCTTCTATGGGGGGATTGTCTGATGCCAAGCAGGCCAGCCATGCAGATGGAAATCAGAAACCACCAGTTCCTGGCAAGACCCCAGCCTTGTTCAGCAAAAAGGAGTGTTGATTTTCCACTTCAGACGCACCATGCCCAAGCCAAGTGCGTGACAGGCAGGACGCTGTGGACCGGGCGCAAACAGAGAGTGTTTTCTCCGGAGCTGAGGGCTTTCCTTTCTCTCTCTCTCTCTCTTAGGCTTATCCAGAATCAGATTACCAGCAGAGGTGCCAAGTGCCTGGCTGATGCTCTCAAGCACAATACGGCCATTAAAGAGATCTGGTAAGGGTGACGGCTGTGCGGCTTTCCAAAGTGTGGCAATCACACTCCAACTGTCTGCTTAGACACATGTGCAGGATCTTGCCTAGTTAGACGGGGAGCCTGTGACCCTTGAACTTCATTGGGTCTCATCAGCATGGCCGATGATGATGAGAGCTGGGACCTAACATCCAGAGAGCCACATGCTGTCCGTTGCTGATGTACAACAAAACGTGCGTGGGATGTTCTCGCACATGACACAGTGGCAAACGCCTTGCGTCTTGGCCATTTCCGTGCTTTGGCGATGGAATGCGTGCCCAAATCCATTTCACCTGTTTCTGGTGCCAAGAGGGCAAATGTGCCAAGAGAGATTGTGGAGCTGAGTTGGGCCACTGTTCCCGCCACAATCACCTTGACTTCTGAACATGGGGATCCTTCAAACGCAAATCAGGAGTCTGTATCATTCGGATAGTTGGGAGCAAGTAATCCTGCCCTGTGGGGGACATGGGTGGCACAGGGTTAACCACAGAGCCTAGGACTTGCTGATCAGAAGGTCAGCGGTTCGAATCCCCATGACGGGGTGAGCTCCCATTGCTCAGTCCCTGCTTCTGCCAACCTAGCAGTTCGAAAACACGTCAAAGTAGATAAATAGGTACCGCTCCGGCGGGAAGGTAAACGGCATTTCAGTGCGCTGCTCTGGTTCACCAGAAGCAGCTTAGTCATGCTGGCCACATGACCCGGAAGCTGTACGCCGGCTCCCTTGGCCAGTAAAGCGAGATGAGCGCCGCAACCCCAGAGTCGGCCACGACTGGACCTAATGGTCAGGGGTCCCTTTGCCTTTAATCCTGCCCTGTGTGCGCAGTCTAACTAAGGGAGGAATAGCAGAGATCAGGAAGAATCGTGTTGGGAGCCCTGCATGCAGTCATGGGCCACCAGCTGGCTAGACCTTAACTGCCTAGCCACATCTTTAATTAGCATTTAAATCATGAGTCTCTCAATGTGGCTAGCAGTAGTTGTAACCAAGTCCCATAGAAACCTGTGGACCAGGTTATTCAGGCCCAACGCCCAGTGACATTTAACATTTTAGCTGGCTCAGAATCAGCGTTTGTCAATTTTGCCTCTTGGTTTATGAGCTGGTGCCGTAGGACTTACACAGCTCCCGTTCGTTTCAGTGCAGGAGATGCTCCTCTCTTAACCTCAGGGTTCTGGGTTCGAACCCCACACTGGGCAAAAAGATGCCTGCACTTGCAGGGGTTGGACTTGATGGTCCTCACGGTCCTTTTCAACTGTACAATTCTGTGATTGTCTCTGTAGCCATTTCAGAAATAAAGTACATTTCGTTAGTTTAATATACAGTCGTACCTCGGAAGTCGAACGCCTTGCGAGTCGAATGTTTTGGCTTCCGAACACCGCAAACCCGGAAGTGAGTGTTCCGGTTTGCGAACGTTCTTTGGAACCGAAACTTCCGACACGGGTTCCACAGCTTCCGATTGGCTGCAGGAGCTTCTTGCAGCCAATCGAAAGCCGTGCCTTGGTTTCTGAAAGTTTTGGAAGTCAAACGGACGTCCAGAACGGATTCCATTCGGCTTCTGAGATATGACTGTACTGCCTTTACACAAGCCCCAGGGCCATCTAAAACAGGTAGATCCATAAAAATCACACAATATTTGAAGGCAGGTGGCAGATCACTAAAGAGCAATTACTAATTGCCGCATCAGTCAAGTCTCTCCAGATGCGTCTTAACCAGTGTTAGAAACCGCGATATGAAAGCTGGGAGATAAATGGTACCTTAAACTGAGGTTATGGGTGCAACAACAGAATGTCTAGGCACGCTATTTTATAACAAGAATATGAAAATGAAAGAACTGCAGCTAAAGTATTATGTTGGTTTTTCACATGTTCTAGTCCTTCCCCTGCCCACTCCCCTAATATTCTTAAGAGGGTCTCCAGTCTTCAGAGAGTAGCTGGAAGTGGGGAGGCAGAAAAAGGTCCTCCTTTCCTCGCACTCTTTCAGTTTTAACCCGAAATCTTAGGCGTAGTATTGCACCCAGAGGTCAGAAGCTCCTCGCACTGATGAAATTCCCTGTTGCAAAATACACCTAGGGCAATGGGAGTTTCAAACACTGGTCTTAACAAGCCACTTAAAATTGTACAGAGATGGGGCCAGGGGCATTTTAGTAGGGAGGGAGTTCTATGTCTTAAAGAAGCCACTACTGAAGAGGCCATTTCCCAGGCCTCATCCTGAGAAAGGACCACCAGGAGGGTCTCACCTCCTGACCTCAGAGCACAAGTAGGTAGATGTGGAGGAAGGCATTCTTGCAGATAGTTGTGCTTCAATATCTGCCCTGTTCTGCTGAGCCCAGAGCACATCAACTAGGTGAAATTCTTGCACCAGAAAGAAGAGAGCCTTAGCTTATATCTTGTGATCTAAAGGGATGTGTGTGACATTCAATATGTTTTAGTATTGCCTACTACGGGCTAAGCATTCCCAAGAGATGAAAAGCTCTTGGATTTCTCTAGGTGGAAATTTCACGTCCTCGTCAGAAACCAGGACTACCTTGCGCCGTTCGTCCCAAAACAAACAGGCTATAGGAAGAGCGCCAAAGGAAAGAGAGCGAGAGAACCTGCAGAAACAGCTGCTTTATTTTAATTTCTCTTTCCCTCCCCCCCTCCCTCTTTCCACCTCCAACAGCTTAAATGGAAACCTAATAAGCCAAGAGGACGCAAAAACGTTTGAAGATGAAAGGAGGCTCGTTTTCTTTTGAGATGGGGGGGAGAGATGAGGTTGGACGGCTGTCGAGATGCCAGGCCTTTGGAACAGTGGTGGCTGAAGCCCAAATGCGATGCCCAGTTGACTCGAGGGTGGAAGACGTGTGTCTTACGTTGTGCTTTCAAAAAATAAAATATCTCCTTGGTGCTGTTTTTACATCTTGTAACAGAGGCTTGACGGTAGTTGTTGCCTTAATAACTAACCATTTGCACCCTACTTCAAAGGGGGAATCGTGCATCAACCGACACAAGCGTTTGTTCTTACTTTATTATGCAAAGGTAAAGGGACCCCTGACCATTAGGTCCAGTCATGGCTGACTCTGGGGTTGCGGCGCTCATCTCGCTTTATTGGCCGAGGGAGCCGGGGTACAGCTTCCGGGTCATGTGGCCAGCATGACTAAGCCGCTTCTGGCGAAACAGAGCAGCGCACGGAAACGCCGTTTACCTTCCCGCCGGAGTGGTACCTATTTATCTACTTGCACTTGACGTGCTTTCGAACTGGTAGGTGGGCAGGAGCAGGGACCGAGCAACGGGAGCTCACCCCGTCGCTGGGATTCGAACCGCTGACCTTCTGATCAGCAAGTCCTAGGCTCTGTGGTTTAACCCACAGCGCCACCCGCGTCCCACTTTATTATGTACCTAGATGCTAAAAATTCTGTGTGTGTGTGTGTGAAAGAGAAAAAGAGATTTATGAACCGATGTGGTTAAAAAAAGTATGTAGGACATTCACAAGCTAAGAGCAATCTCACCTGGCAGTTGAGCAAGTGAATATCATTCATCCAAGTCTGGGATAGCTCACTCAGTAAAGGATGAGACTCTTAACCTCAAGGTCATGTGTTTGAGCCCCATGTTCATCGCTGGGGGTTGGACTTGATGGCCCTCGTGGTCCCTTCCAGCTCTACAGTTCTATGGTTCTATTTTCGATTATTCTATTTTCCGTTCCTTTCTGCTCTGTCTGCAATGACAGCATTTTCTTGACTTGAGGCTTCATCAGCCTTGACTTGTGTGTGATCTGTTCGTGATCTTTGGCCGAAGGGGTCGAGAGTCCAGTCTGCAGAGAGACAGGAAAGTGGGAGGGGGAGAGAAAGGAGACAAACACCATGCTATAGGGCTAGGCGGAAGCTCCACTTTGGCTGGCAGAAACCCCTCACGCCATGCCAACAAACCTCTAGCGAGCGAGTGCTGTGTGTGCCTGTCATTGCTTGCCACCTCCTGGGGTGCAGGTAGCGCTGTGGTCTAAACCACGGAGCCTCTTGGGCTTGCTGATTGGAAGGTCGGCGGTTCGAATCCCCACGACGGGGTGAGCTCCCGTTGCTCTGTCCCAGCTCCTGCCAACCTAGCAGTTCGAAAGCACGCCAGTGCAAGTAGATAAATAGGTACCACAATGACGGGAAGGTAAACGGCGTTTCTATGTGCTCTGGTTTCCATCCCATTGTGCCAGAAGCGGTTTAGTCATGCTGGCCACATGTCTGTGGACAAACGCCAGCTCCCTCAGCCTGAAAGCGCCACAACCCCATAGTCACCTTTGACTGGACTTAACCGTCCAGGGGTCCTTTACCTTTACTTTTATACCTTGCTACCTCCATAGTCTCGCTCAGCAGGAAACAGGAGATGAAGGCTTTGCATTAGTGCCTTAGTCCCAGCCTTTCCCAGGTTGGTGCTCTCCAGTTGGGCTCGCTGGGGCTGATGGGAACTGTAGTCCAAAATACCTGGAAGGCAGCTTGGGTTATGGGGGGGTGGCGGTTGCCTTCGTCTGTGCTCCACTTGCAAACAGATCAGAACGAAACAGATGATGTCCTGCAAACATGGTGCCAGCAAATCAGGATCAAGGCTCCACAAACAGTGACGGTCATATCACCTCCCTGCAGACTTTGTGCAAACAAATCAGGGCGAATGCTCAGCAAACAGGTCGGTTTAGAAGCAAGCCGGGTCCTTGGTCGTATTAAAAGTAGTGCAGCCATACCCTTGGGGGCCAAGCAAAAGAGCAACTGAGTTTATGCAGAGGCGTTTGAGACTGGGCAGAGGGGAAATGGTGGAGACCGCCTCCTCATCCTGACCTTCCAGGGAGGAGAAAGAGGAAGACAATTTAGATTTACAACGGGTTTGAGGGAGGTCGCAGCTCAGAGGCAGATGAGGGGGAAAGCTGGAAAATCATGGGAGAGCCAGAACAACGCCCAACGTCATTAGAGAGTTCCAGACCCACCTTCTCCCAGAACCCAGCGAGCCTTAAAAGTAGGAGAGCAAAGACAGAGGGCACATAGATCACCTGTAGAGGAGGTGATGAGGATGATGAATGAGGAAATGGGGGGTGGAGAGTCACTTGGGACAACACCCTTATCCGAGAGGCTGGGTTTTATAGCCTCCCTCTGTAGAGATTGAAATAAAAAAGGACGCTAAGAAACTTTCCCTTGTCTTTATACCGTATTTTTCGTTCCATAATACGCACCTGACCATAAGACACACCTAGTTTTTAGAGGGGGAATGCAAGAAAAAAAATTATTTAAAGGGAGCGCTGAGCAGAGCCTGTATGCATGCCAGGCTCTGCTCAGCACTTCCTTTCACGAGGCGCGCGGAGCGTGTGTGTGGCGCTTGCAGGCTTTTCCACGAGGTGGTAGAAGAGCAGCCTAGAAAAGCCCCCAAGAGCCGCACACACGCTCCACGCGGCTCTTTAAAGGGAGCGCTGAGCAGAGCCTCCCGCCTGCATTCGCTCCATAAGCCACACACACATTCCCCCCTTTTTAGGAGGGAAAAAGTACGTCTTATGGAGCGAAAAATACGGTACTTTCCTGCACAACCAGCCGGGATCTGCTAACAGCATCCTGACAAGAGGATGAATGGGTGCCTTTAACATCCACATTCTACGTAATAGGCATCCTATAGTATTCAGCTTGCAGTCCACAGAATAAACCAGTGCCATTGGCTTACTCTCATTCAAATGGCAAAATTCAGGTGTGAAAAATGAATGCAGCACTGCCTTCCTGTAGCCTCTTCCCTTGCCCCCCCTTTTTTTGGTGCTATGATGCCAACAGTTTTGCACTGTGATGTCACACAGTTGCCATCCTCGTGGTTACAGCCATACCAGCTACAAACCAGCTTAACCCAGGCAAGTAACCATCAGCCAGAGGCTCAAATGTGACCAAGTGGGCAGCGGGTGGGGTGGGGAGTCCACTGACCTGGAATGCTAGGCGCTAACATCATCTGCCAAACTCTGGCCTACACTCGAGTAGGACCCTGGCAGAGACACGTGCCCGACTGGCATGTTCTCTCCTGGTCGATCGTTTGGGAGCTTCATAAGCTTTCTTCAGCCCGAACATCACAGCGACCAATGCCAACAGTCATCGGCACACTTAGGGATCCGCAGAGTCTGCGCAGTTCACATAACAGACCTCAGCAACTCAGCATTTTGGCTAATCTACTTTATATACATGTGAAGACACTGCAACATGGCTCCCTCCCTCTCTAGCATCAGACAGCAAAGACAAAAAGAACAAAGGACAATAGTCCCACTTCACGGAACACAGTAACACAAGCATCCTGTCTCCATCACTTCCCACTCTGTGGAGTCAAAACATACACCGTCATGTGATAGACAACAGTCCCATGACTGCAATCAGGGAGCAGGAATTCTAACAGTCCGTTCCCCCAAGTTTCCTCTGTCTCTTCACTTTCTCTCACGACTATTTCTTGCCTCACAACCTATTCATGACCACAATGCCAAGCAACACCTATCGGCCTGCACCAATCTTGGGTCACAGTCACACTCTGCATTCAAAACACTACGATGCTGCTTTAAACCATCATGGCTTCCCCCAAAGAATTCTGGGAACTGGAGTTTGTTAAGGGTGCTGAGAGTCTTAGGAGACCCCGATTCCCCTCCCAGAGTCCCTTGTGAAGAGGGATAGATGGTTAAAGGACTCTGGCCACTGTAGCTCTGTGAGGTCTCCTAACACCTTCCAGCACCCTCAAACTACAGCTCCCAGAATTCTCTGGGGGGAGCCATGATGGTTTCAAGTGGCATCGTAGTGCTTTATGGTGTGAACATAGCCTTAGGTCACAATCTGTGACTTTGTTCTGTAATTAAAGGGGCCTTGTACACAACAGCAGTACTGACTTCTGGGTAACTGCGTAGATAAGAGCTAATTCACTAGAAAGGGGGGGTAAATAGGGGGTAAATAGCTGCTGCCACAGGATTCAGATTTGATTACTGTATTTTTCCGTGTATAAGACTAGGGGTTTTTTAACCAAAAAATTAGGTTTAAAATTGGGGCTTGTCTTATACACGGATAGTGCTGAGGGGTGTTTTCTTAATTTGGAGTCCCCCAAAATAGGAGGTGTCTTATACATGGGGGGCGTCTTATACATGGAAAAATACGGTATATTGCAAGAACATGAAGGAGGTTCGACCTCTATCCCTTATTGTATGTATATACAAGACTCACATTCTTTGTCGTCCTGGTTACAGAAGAAAGCATTCCTTTTCAATTCAGTGTCAGCAAATCTGAGAGGTTAAAGGTGAGGGGGGGGAGTCATTTGACACCCCCTCCAGCTATTGCTGGGTTGCTCCTGCCATAACCCCAAACTTTGGCCATGGAGACTGAGCCTGGTGGGAGATTGACTCCAACAACATCTGGCATTCCACAGGTTCTCTACTTCTACGTAGGAGAAGTCGCATGGCAACACATCCTATATGGCTGAGCTTACGTATGGGATGTTGTTTTATATATATATATATATATATATATATATATATATATATATAATCTTTTTTATTCAGTTTTACGCTATACATTTAAATTCAGACATTGATCATAATAATCAACTTTCAGGATTCCCCGAATCCTTGGACTTCCCTCTATGGTTTCCATTTCAAACTTTTTCTACCGCATCATATATTTTCTCTATTTTCTTAGAATAATCAATTTCCTCCTTAGTTTTTAATGCATTAAAAGCGTTACTCAAATCCTGCCAAAGTTTTTAGTTGTTTACAGTGTTCTCTTACGTAAATTGTAAATTTTTCCCATTCCTTATTAAAGTATCTTCCTGGTTTCTGATTTTCCCGGTCGTTTTTGCCATTTCGGCGTAGTCCATCATCTTCATCAGTCATTTGTCTCCGGGCCATTAGTATCTGTGCTGCTGTCGTCGCATACATAGACAATCGTTTCTGCTCTTTTGGTATCTCTGCATCTAAAATTCCTAAAAAAGGTGATTTTTTCCCCACAAAAGTTATTTTAAACATTTTTTTCAACTCATTATATATCATTTCCTGGAATGCTTTTGTTATCTTGCATATCCACCACATGTTCTGAGCGCTTGATGATTTCAGCCGGAGCCCAACTATGTCAAAACCTAGTCTAGATGAGAGCTAAATCAATCTGGAGTTAAAATAACGCTTTAGCTTTTTAAAGAGGAACACCAAGCTCTCCCAGGTCATTGGAGAGTGGAGAGCTTGAGCGATCTATTTAAAAATTCTGTGGTCATTTCACCAGCTCCGTCTAAACTGTTCTTCTTGGAAAATACAACTGGACCCCTTTATTAATCGTCTCAAAGAGCCTGGCATCCTGGCACAACGACACGGGGGGAATAGGCCTTTCCCAATGAATGGAGCTTGGCAGCCTACAATGGGACCTTGTTCGCCAGAATTCAGGTCTCTGGAAATAAAAATAGGTTTACGTTCCAAGCTAAAATAGACCGGTACGTCATAGGGATCGGTAATTTGCTGAAAAGCACTTTCCACGGAGGTAAGCAACTCTGTTAATAAATTCACCTTTAAGGACTTTAAGGTGAAGCTGACCGGTTTGGCTTCGGTTTCTAGCCGTGCCAGACAATGCGTCAGATCGAACCCAAGCTTGATGGCGTCGTTCAAAGGAACTTGCTGGCGGGTTTAGCTGCTGCTGTTTTGGTTCCAGATTGTGTGGGCTGAAGTGGGCAGCAAATGCACAGCAGCATAAGGCGGCCCTCAAAATGGCTTGTCCAAAGCAGCGGAGCTTTGAAACAACATCGTCAAAATGGGAGACATCTTTGGAGTTTACCGCTCAACTAGGGATGATGAGTAAGGAATCTGGACACAAATATCACTACTAGCAGTTATGTTACTATCTCACTCTTCGTCCCCAAATGGCCCAGGGAGGCAAGCAACAAAGAAGCAAAGCGCTACAATTAAAAATACAGTCATACCTTGGAAGCCGAACAGAATCCATTCCAGAAGTGCGTTTGACTTCCAAAACGTTCGGCAACCAAGGCGAGCCTTCCGATTGGCTGCAGGAGATTCCTGCAGCCAATCGGAAGCCGCATCAGATGTTTGGCTTCCAATGAACGTTCACAAACCGGAACAATCACTTCTGGGTTTGTGGTGTTCGGGAGCGAAAACGTTCGACTCACAAGGCGTTCGGCTTCCAAGGTACGACTGTAAAAGCATTCACCGCCAGGGCCCGCCCAAGACATTTTGCCACCTGAGGCAGATCCCTAAATGGCTTTCCCCTCCCTGCCAGGTAAGAAGGGGTGAAAGAAAATCTATGTTGGGAACAAGCAGGGGAAGAAGGATCTACATTGGGATCTGCTGCCGCAGTGGACCTTGCAGCCTGAGGCAGTTACCTCATCTTGCCTCATGGGTGGGGCAGCCCTGTTCACCACATACAATGAATCCTACATGGAAGTGTCAGAAATATCCATATTACTAGAACAGGGTTGGGGAAGCTCTGGCTCACGGGCCAAAAGCAGAGACATCACCTTGCCAACAAAGGTCCACATAGTTAAAGCTATGGTATCCCAGTAGTGATGTATGGAAGTGAGAGCTGGACCATAAAGAAGGCTGATCGCCAAAGAATTGATGCTTTTGAATTATGGTGCTGGAGGAGACTCTTGAAAGTCCCATGGACTGCAAGAAGATCAAACCTTTCCATTCTGAAGGAAATCAGCCCTGAGTGCTCACTGGAAGGACAAATCCTGAAGCTGAGGTTCCAATACTTTGGCCACCTCATGACTCCCTGGAAAAGACTCTGATGTTGGGAAAGATGGAGGGCACAAGGAGAAGGGGACAACAGAGGACGAGATGGTTGGATAGTGTCCTCAAAGCTACCAGCATGAGTTTGACCAAACTGCAGGAGGCAGTGGAAGACAGGAGGGCCTGGTGTGCTCTGATCCATGGGGTCACGAAGAGTCAGACACGACTAAACGACTAAACAACAACAACAAGGTCCCAGTTTGGCCCAAACGGCTGTTTTCCCCCACACCTGATGTCGTTTCTGATGTCAGGTGTCAGGCAGGTGGAGACTATTAAAACCAGGAATGAGGGGCACTTAAATGACTCCCCAAAATCCCAAGTCCCCACCACAGCCTCTAACTAAGGCCAGGCACCATACATACACAACAGCAAAGAGGCTCAGAAAAGCAGTCTATAAAATTGTAGCAATAAGTGGATATCCTACATCGTACTTTTTCCTCTGACTATCCAATATAGAATCAAATAATCACCAAAATTCAACGGTTTGACCAATTTCCTTGGTTCCAATGGGTAATGACTCCTCTGGAAGGGCTCCCCCTGCCTCCATAATCCCTTAAGCGGCCACATACTCCTTGCCCCTCCACAAGGTGTGAACTTAGCCTCACAATAGGAGGCAGGAGGCGATCAGGGGCAGCACATACCTCAGGCAAAATCCATCTGGATGGTGGATTGAATCCTGATACTTTCAGAGGAGAAGCGCAGGAAAGCCTTGCAGCTAGGGGGATGTGTTAAAAGGTGTCAGTAGGGTTATTGACAGGGGTGGGCGATGGGCTCATGTTTCTACATGGCAAGCACTCCTGCTTTGTGACATATCTGTGATGTATTGATGATGGTGTTGAAAAATGTATTAAATGTATTAAAGGTTCACGCAACCCCATGCTCAGAGGTTCCCACTCTTTGTGTATTTGAACCTTGTTGCAACTGTGATAGGGATTTTATGGTCTTAGATATATGGTAATGTTCATAAGTGTACCAACCAAGCATGTACATAGATCAGCACAGGAAGACCGACCGGGAACCATTTTGATTCCTAAACTGAGCAAATGTTTTCTCTGCAAGGTCAAAGTGGGAAACCTCCCCATTGTCTCTTTCCTCACAAATCCTGTCTTAAGGGCACATTTAAGATATGAATAGGGTGTGAGCCTGTGACCTGGCCCAGGAACTATGATAAGTATTTATCATTACAAAAGACTAGCCAGGCTCCCCAGGCAATTCAATCAAGTAACCTGCCAGACAGGAGATAAACAAGGACAGGAGAAAACAACATTCAAATTTCTGTTTAGACCGCCTTTTCTGTGATGTAGGTATGATGTATCTGAGGGGTGGTCTTAGGTTACACCCCTTCTGTGATGTATGTATGATGTTTCTGGGGTTGGTCTTGATCTACAGGGTGGCAATTTCAAGGTCTTTATAAGGCCTTGCGCGCCATTTTTCTGGGTTCCTCCTCTGTCCTGCGGGTGAGGGGAGCACCCTGTTGCAACAGATCAATAAAGATCAAGTTTACTAGCTGCTTTGCTTCGCAATATTCTCTGGTTGGCCTCTGTTATTCTCTCCTACCAATAGGGAACCTATGTAAGGACTCTATATGGGCTCTTGGATACCTCATAAGGGAAAGGGCAATTTTTGTTTGTTGTTGTTGTTTAGTCGTTTAGTCGTGTCTGACTCTTCGTGACCCCATGGATCAGAGCACGCCAGGCACTCCTGTCTTCCACTGCCTCCCGCAGTTTGGTCAGACTCATGTTTGTAGCTTCAAGAACACTGTCCAACCATCTCGTCCTCTGTCGTCCCCTTCTCCTTGTGCCCTCCATCTTTCCCAACATCAGGGTCTTTCCCAGGGAGTCTTCTCTTCTCATGAGGTGGCCAAAGTATTGGAGCCTCAGCTTCAGGATCAGTCCTTCCAGTGAGCACTCAGGGCTAATTTCCTTAAGAACGGATGCGTTTGATCTTCTTGCAGTCCATGGGACTCTCAAGAGTCTCCTCCAGCACCATAATTCAAAAGCATCAATTCTTCGGAGATCAGCCTTCTTTATGCAATTTTTGTTTACAACACAACAAATAAAGATCAGGTCTACAGACTGCTGTTTGCTTCTTTAACTTGGCTGGAGTCTCTTTCTTTTGCTGACCTGAGAGACCCGTGGGGTGTCAAGCTGGGCAGCGGAGTAAATCCACATCTCGGGATTTTTCCTTATCAAGACAAACCTGGATAGGCTGTGATGAAGGGCAGCAACATACAGGCTGCTGGGTCTCCTGCGTGACGACCGAGTTCCTCATGGCAACTAGAACAATGAATACTTTTCCATGTGCGCTTATGTGAAACAAAGGACTCAAATGACACACATTAAACTCAGTGTACATTACAAAGTCCATACTAGCTTCTTATCCACTGCAAAACAAGTTGGGGGTGATTTGCACTAGACCTTTAAATGGCATTCAGAGCATACTGTTTCCCTCAATGAATTATGGGCACTATGGTTTGTTAAGGGTTGCTTTGAAGTGCTCCTCTGAACTACAGTACCCAGAATTATTTGAGGGGAAGAATTATTTTTAAAGGTAAAGTGTGAACACACCTTAGCTGGGGGGTGGGGAGCAAGAGCATGCTTAACCCTTTCCCTACCAAAGAAATTTTCTTTCCCCTGGGACCTGTCTGCCAATCCAATTTTACCTCTGCCAAGTATTCCCAAAGAAATAATAATACTATTGATTGATTGATTGATTGATTGATTGATACCCCGCCCATTTGGCTGAGTTTCCCCAGCCACTCTGGATGGCTCCCAATCAAATGTTAAAAACAGTACAGCATTAAATACTAAAAACTTCCCTAAACAGGGCTGCCTTCAGATGTCTTTTAAAGATAGGATAGCTGCTTATATCCTTCACATCTGAGGGGAGGGTGTTCCACAGGGTGGGCGCCACTACCGAGAAGGCCCTCTGTCTGGTTCCCTGTAAACTCACTTCTCACAATGAGGGAACTGCCAGAAGGCCCTCGGCGCTGGACCTCAGTGTCCGGGCAGAACGATGCGGATGGAGACGCTCCTTCAGGTATACTGGACCGAGGCCGTTTAGGGCTTTAAAGGTCAGCACCAACACTTTGAATTGTGCTCGGAAACGTACTGGGAGCCAATGCAGATCTCTCAGGACCGGTGTTATGTGGTCCCGGCGGCCACTCCCAGTCACCAGTCTAGCTGCTGCATTCTGGATTCATTGTAGTTTCCAGGTCACCTTCAAAATTAGCCCCACGTAGAGCGCATTGCAGTAGTCCAAGCGGGAGATAACTAGAGCATGTTCCTAAACTGACCTGGAATACGGTGGGTGTGGAGAGGGGGAAAGTTGTGGGAATGACAGACTCTAGTTCCCATTTGCAGCATATAAGGAAGACAGCCCTGGGTCGTTTGACCATTTAATTAGTTCTCTTTCCCCTCCTATAAAAATTTCGCAAGGCACTCTCTTTTAAAGTTTAAGGAACAAATAACTTTTGCTGAGCGTGCTTGCAGTTGCAGATTAAATACGCAATGTGGGTGGATGTTTCTTAAATTGCTAATACGTCTGACATAGATCAAACTAGCTAACTCTGAAGCAGACAGCAGTGCAACACAGCATATCTGCTGCTCTGTTAAGACTAACTGCCATAACTTTCACAAAGTGTATGATATCACAGAGTTCTACAGCCTCTTGCAATGGACCATTTACACAAGCATTTGGGATGCTAACATCCCACAAAAGTGAAAGCAGCAGCGGACTGGGTAAACAGTCTTTTCTTACCCTCAATACAGATGTTATAAGAAAAACTGCTCCCTTTTCCTTATCGGGTATTGCAGAGCCCATATAGAATCCTTAAGTGGGTTCCCTATTGGTAGGAGAAAATAACAGAGGCCAATCAGATAATATTGAGAAGCAAAGCAGCTAGTAAGCCTGATCCTTATTAAACTGTTGCAACAGGGTCCTCACTCATCACATGCAGGAGGGAGGAGGAACCCAGAACAATGGTGCGCAAGCCCTTATATAGACTCTTGAAGTTGTCCACCCTGTAGCCAGAGGTAAAGGTAAAGGGACCCCTGACCATTAGGTCCAGTCGTGGCCGACTCTGGGGTTGCGGCGCTCATCTCGCTTTATTGGTCGAGGGAGCCGGCGTATAGCTTCCGGGTCATGTGGCCAACATGACTAAGCCGCTTCTGGAGAACCAGAGCAGCGCACAGAAACGCCGTTTACCTTCCCACTGGAGTGGTACCTATTTATCTACTTGCACTTTGATGTGCTTTCGAACTGCTAGGTTGGCAGGAGCAGGGACCAAGCAACGGGAGCTCACCCCATCGTGGGGATTCGAACTGCCGTGCTTCTGATCAGCAAGTCCTAGGCTCTGTGGTTTAACCCACAGCGCCACCCGCGTCCCTCTGTAGCCAGATGTGATGGGATGATGAGCTGCTTGTGCGTAAAATCGTATCCCCTCAGAGTTTGTTCAAGTCCACAAACCTCTGTCTGTGACGGAGCCCCTCAGACATGGCTCCTCTAGTCACTAGCAGATTCCGACAGTGGTTGCTTCGTAATCGCTTCCAACATAAAAGCTCCTTAACGGAAACACGTCTTCTGGAATCTCTGCGTGACAGTTTCCGGCGAGGAGTGGGTGTTCTTACAGGAGGTCCTGAAACCTCCCCACTGTTTCGCTGGAAGTGTCTCTGAGCCATCCCTCCAGCTCAGCTCCTCTCCCCTGCTGGTTCCCTCTTCCGCTGCTGAGTCTCTCCCAACCTGTGTGAGCCCTTTCACCTCCCTGCTGGTTCCCTCTTCAGCTGCTGAGTCTCTCCCAACCTGTGTGAGCCCTTTCACCTCCCTTCCGTCCGATGGCAGTTCCCTGACATCCACCTCCCCTCCAGGGCCCCCTTCAACCCCTCTCGCCCCCTCCTCTACGGGCGGTGAGGAGGCAAAACCCCGGAATGAACTTCCTTCATCTTCCGATGTCTCGAACACTTCTCTCCACCTGTTGCGGTTCCTGGTCTCGAAGTACACCTCCTCCTCAGAGTCCATCTCCCTTCCCCTTCCGAGTCCGGGAATCCTTCCAACTCCTCCCCTCATCAGTGGTCCCAAAGTATTCCCCCGGAACCTCTCCACAGGCTGAGGTTTCCTTGGGAACCTTTGATGGAACGTTTCTATCAATACCTCGTCATTGATATCTTCGGCCATTACCCAAGTGTTTTCTGACTCCGGTTCTCCTTCCCACGCTACCAAATACTCCACCTGATCCCCCTTCCACCTGGCGTCGAGGATTTCTGCCACATGGCTGCTGCATTCTCTTTCTTCTATGACCGGTCCCCGAGTGGCCATCCCTTCTCGTCCCCCTTCGTACGGTGACAGTAACGACCTGTGAAATACTGGGTGCAGTTTCATGTGGTTGGGTAACCGGAGCCTGAAAGCCACTGGGTTGACCTGTTGAATGACCTCAAAGGGACCCAACCTCCTGGGTCTTAATTTCTTACAACCTCCTTTGAACGGCAACCCTTGGGTTGACAGCCACACCCTATCTCCCACCCTTATGGTTTCACCTTCCCTTCGGTTCTTGTCTGCCTGCCTCTTGTATTCTTCCTTCGCCCTTTCTAAGTTGAGTTGGAGCTGACGATGGATTGCTTCCATTTCTTCCACAAAATGCTCGGCTGCCGGGACGCTCCATCTCTCCCCTCCCCCTGGGAAAGCCCTGGGATGACACCCATAATTAGCCAAGAAGGGGCTCATCCCTGTGGACACATTCTCGGCATTGTTGTAGGCAAATTCTGCCAGCGCCAACTTTTCTACCCAGTCATTCTCTCTGTCATTGACATAACACCTCAGGTATTGCTGGAGGACACCGTTTGCTCTTTCCGCCTGCCCGTTGGTTTCAGGGTGCCGGGCAGTCGAAAAATTGACCTCCACCTGCAGTAAGCTCATGAGCTTCCTCCAGAACCTGGAAGTAAATTGTTTTCCTCGGTCTGAGACCACCCTCAATGGCACCCCGTGCAACCTAAAAATGTGTTCTACAAATAACTTCGCTGTCTCTTCCGCCGTGACTGCATGCGAGCAAGCTACAAAGTGGCACATCTTTGTTAGTAGGTCTACCACCACCATGATGGCTGTTTCCCTTTGGACTTCGGCAGATCAGTCATAAAATCTATCGACACTGCCTCCCAAGGTCGTTCTGGGGTTGGTAAGGGTTCTAACAGCCCCGCCGGCGCCCGCCTTTCCCTTTGGCTCGCTGGCATTGCTCGCACCCTCTCCCAGACTCACGTACATCTGCCCGCACCTTAGGCCACCAAAATTCCCTGGTGACCAACCACATGGTTTTGTGTTGTCCAAAATGCCCCGCCGTAGGGCTGTCGTGCACCTGCTTGAGTACCCTCCCCCTTGAGTCTCCTTCAGGGATATACAGTGCCCCTGTGTAATACACAGCTCCATTTCGTTCCTCGAAACCCCTGGTTCCTCTCCCTCACCCCTAAGACCTCTGAGCTTATTCTGGGCGTATTCATCATTCTCTGTTTCCTCTACCAGTTCTCTTTGTCCCACCAATGCCGCCCCACACACCCAGCGGTCCTCTGGAATGACATGTCTCTCTTCGGGTGCCCCTCCCTCCAAATATTCAGGTTTGCGTGAGAGAGCGTCCGCCCTAATGTTCTCTGGGCCTGGCACGTAACTAATCTCAAAGTTAAATTTGGAGAACTCCTGGGCCCATCTCACTTGCCGTTGGTTGGGCACTCGTGCCGTCCTCCAATACTCTAGGTTCTTGTGGTCAGTGCACACTTGCACCTTATGTTGTGCGCCAATTAGCAGGTGCCTCCATCTCCGGAACGCCTCATGAATGGCTAGTAGTTCTCGGTCATACACCGTGTAGTTCCTCTCGGATTTGTTCAGCTTTCGCGAAAAAAGGCACACGGTCTCCACTCTGACCCCTTCTTCCCTGGCTGCAGAAGCACCGCCCCAATCGCTCTGTCTGATGCGTCAGTTTCCACTCTCATCGGTTTTTGTAAATCCACATGCAGGAGTTGTTGTTCCGAGGCGAAGGCCCTTTTAGTTCCTCAAATGCTCGCTCCGCCTCCTCAGTCCACACGAACTTCTTCTTACTGCTGAGACAGTCCGTAATGGGCGCCGTCAGGTGGGCAAAGTTTCGGATGAACTTACGATAGAAGTTCCCAAATCCTAGGAACCTCTGCACATCCTTCTTTGTTTTGGGTGTTTTCCATTCCAGCACCGCCTGGACCTTGCCGGGATCCATGGCCAATCCCTTGTCTGACAGGCGATACCCCAGGAATTCCACCTCCTTGGTATGAAACTGACACTTCTCCAGTTTCACCCACAGCTGGTTGGCTTGCAGCCTGCTCAACACTTCTCTGACGTCTCTCACATGCTGCTCCTCATTCTCAGAATACACCAACACGTCGTCTAAAAAGGCCACACAATTCTTGTAAAGCAAAGGCCCCAGGACGTGGTTCATAAACGATTGAAATGTTGCGGAGCCTGCTTGTAGGCCGAAGGGCATAACCAAATATTCAAATGC